GACTTGCTCACGTAGTAAATTGGTTTCTGCTCCCCACGGTCTTCCCGAACCAAGACTCCACTAACCGCGTGGCTTGAAACCGATACGTACAAATAAAGTTTTTCATCCACTTCCGGTTTGGACAATATAGGTGGAGTGGTTAAGTATGCCTTAAGCTGCCCAAAAGCTTCTTCACACTTCTCATCCCAAAGGAATCCTTTGTTCCCTTTTAGAATTTGGTAGAAAGGCAACGACTTATCTGTTGATCTCGAGATAAAACGATTCAGAGCCGCAATCCGCCCAGTCAACCGTTGTACTTCTTTGAAGTTTCTTGGAGAGGGCATGTTTAGAAAGGCATTAATTTGATTTGGATTGGCTTCAATCCCTCTTTCTGTCACAATATAACCAAGAAATTCTCCGGATGGGACTCCAAATGTGCACTTCGCCGGGTTCAGCTTCATTTGATATTTATTGAGAATATCAAAACATTCCCCTAAATGCTTAACGTGATCCTCTTTCTTTAACGATTTAACCAACATATCATCTATGTAGACTTCCATTGGTTTCCCGAGATGACTATGGAACATCTTGTTAACCAACCGTTGATATGTTGCTCCTGCATTTTTCAAACCAAAAGGCATTACCTTATAACAATAGATACCTCTATCAGTGATAAATGACGTTTTTTCTTGGTCTTCGGGGTTCATCATTATTTGATTATAACCCGAGAAGGCATCCATGAATGTTAACAGCTCGTTCCCAGCGGTGGACTCTACAAGTCGATCTATATGTGGGAGCGGGAAACTATCTTTGGGACATGCTTTATTGAGGTCTGTGAAGTCGATGCAGACCCTATCTTTCCCATTCTTCTTCTTGACAACGACAGTATTTGCTACCCATTCCGGATATTGTACTTCTCTTATGGACCCTATCTTCAAAAGTTTATCCACTTCGTCATTTATCACTCCGAGCTTTCTTCTTTTCTGTTTCACCGGCTTGAAGCTCGGATCCACGTTTAGCTCGTGACAAATTATATTTGGATCTATACCAGGCATGTCTGCTGCTGACCATGCAAACGATGTTTTGTTTTTCCTTAAAAGTTCGACCAAAGCTTCTTTTATTTGGCCAGTCAAAGTTGCTCCAATTCGGACTTTCCGATCTGGTTTGTCTTCTTCCAATACCACTTCGACTACTACATCCTCTTTTTCCTGCCCACTAGGAAATTTTTGCCTTAGTCCTTCTTTTGCGGGCTTTGTTAATTGCTATTGGATCTTCAAACGATGGCTAGCTAAGTAACACGTCCGTGAAGCTTCTTGATCTCCCCGAATTGTTTCCACCCCATTTAATGTTGGAAATTTGATACATTGATGGTATGTAGAGGGGACTGCTTTCATTCGATAAATCCAGGGAGTCCCGAGGATGATGTTGTAAGCTGTGGGCTTATCGAAGACAACGAAGTCCACGATCTTCGATACCTTCTTGGCGAGGACCGGTAGCTTGATTGTTCCGAGAGACATGGCTGACTCGCTTGTGAACGCAACTAATGGAGATGGGGGTCCTACTATGTCTCCTCGGCTGATTCCCATTCTTTCTAGAGTACTTAAAAAGATCAAGTCGACCGAACTGCCTGTATCGATAAGGATCCTTGATACTTCGAAGTTAGCAACATCAAGGGTAATGACTAGAGCATCATCATGCGGTCTTTCGAGATGCCGCGTTTCTTCTTCGTTAAATGATATTGAGGCACCATGAAAATCAACTTCTTCGCTCAAGCTTGCTTTGAGTAAGACATTTCGTCTATGTTTTTTGATGGAACTTATCGAATCTCGACAAAATTTGGAGCCTCCTAGAATCACATTGATCTTACCCTTCGAACTCCTTGGTTCTTCCTCGTTGGATAACCTTGGTCTTTTGGAATCTTGATCTTTGGAGTTTTCCTTTGCTTCGTGGTATTCCTTCACAAAATCTTTTATATCGAATTTGGAAAGATCTCCACTGGCCCAAAGCTCCGCAAGGTGCCTTTTAAGGACGCTACAATCCTTGGTTAAATGTCCGGTTACTTTATGAATATCGCAATATAAACTTTCATCGCGGACCCAAGTGTTTGACCTTCCTTTTCCTTGGAATTGCTTTCCGACAGTACTGTTGAAGGGTTTCGACCCGAATTTTCTTGGTCCTTTGCTCTCCCTAGGCTCAAACTTCTTGGTAGGGACGGTGATTGCCGGCTTTTCTTGCTTATTTCTTTTGGCAAAATTTTCTTTCTCGTCCTCTACTTCCATCCAATTGTTTGCACGGAAGAGTGCATCTTGAATTGTGTCTGGCTTATGAAGTATTAAGTCTTCTTTAAACCTTGAATCATGTCGCAATCCTTTTCGTAGGGCAGATAAAGCTGATTGCTGTGAGATTCTTGGGAGCTTCGACAGCACTCCTTTGAACTTGGTGATGAAAACTCGAAGTGACTCACTTGACCCTTGCGATAAGTTCCAAAGATCGGCATCCAAAACGCTTTTATCCATAAGGATGGAATATTGCTTTAAGAATACGGCTGATAGTTCGTCGAAATTGCTGATCGAACCCGGCTCTAATTGGGTGAACCACATTAGAGCTTGGCCACATAGATTCTCCGAAAAAAGCTTGCAGTAACCTGCGTCCTCATCAGCTTCATCCAATTCGACTCTTCCAGCAGCGATCAGAAAAGTTGCGAGATAGCTTTTTGGATCCTCCAATCCGCTGTAAGGGTCCAACTTGAGTTTCCGGGAATCCTTGATCCTCAAACTTGCAATTCGCGAGATGAAAGGTGTTCGCCTAGCTTCTTCAATGACTCGATTGATGTCTGGCTCCGAGCTTGTAGCTTGATGAAATTTTGATTTCATTTCTTTTAATTCCTGGCTAACCTTCCTCATGGTCTCGAACTGGTCGAGGTTCTCCTGCTCGTACTGAGCTGCGAGTTGTTCTTCATCTCCGAGCTGTGTCTCTTCTTCCAACGTCTGAGCTACATTATTAGTAGCACCAGGAGTTGTTTGTCCGCTGGTTTCATTTCGTGCAGCGGAGCTTGGCGAGTTGAATATCCCTCTTCGGATTCCCACAAGGTTTCCTGCACTTAAAGAGCGAACACGAGTTTGTATAGTATTGACGTTTTGACTAAGAGATACCTGGGATGTTTGCAACGTATCGACGGCCTTTTCCACATCCGAGAACTTTTGTGATATGTCCGACATGGTTTGCTGCATAGCTTTGAGGGTTTCGGCCAATGATGTCTCAACGGCGTCTCCTCCGGACATTGTTGCTTATCTCGGAAGTGTGATAAAGAAAAAATCTGACCACTCAAGAATCTTCTCTCCCCACAGACGGCGCCAAAATGTGGATGTCGGATTCACACACTCAAGTATTTTATTAAGTAGGAAAGATTATTCTTGAGGGACAAAAATGAATATGTAAAAACTTATAAATTGCTACGAAAATTGCTATAGTATTTCCTTCTTGAGAGGAAGATCCCCTTTACATGGCGATTGGCCTTTATATTTATACATAGAGAATCGACATTAAAATGAATAATTAAGTACAATTATTCCCTCTTAAATGTGTCCGTTTTGATTCTTTTACTTTAATGCTCAATGTTTGAATTTGAGTTGACTCTGATCTTCATGGGCCTCGCCTTTTGGCCCAAGTGTCCTTGAACCGTCTTACCCGTGTCTTCTACACCGAACTCATGTCGAAGTGCAGTCACTTCGGACTCTCGAAGTGGTGATAACCACTTCGACCGTTCCTTCGGCTCACGGGTCCAATGGGCTTTATCCTTTATGGGCCATTATCTTGACTACGTGGCAATCTTTGGTTGGTCTCGGACTTCTGGTGCGGGATCCGACACCAACAGAATGTACCAGCTGGACCAAGCATCCCGAGAGATTGGAATAAGTTTCTTGAGAATGAAGACCCTGAGAAAGAAGTCCCTGAGAAAGAGAGTTCCGATATTGCTAAAGTTGTTGCATCTATTACCTCACTAACAGTGGTGGTAAACAATGGCTTCCATGCCATTCAGGAGAAGTTTAGCGACATGGAGAATAGAGTGAAGACTCTTGAAGTGTATGTGGCAGCTGAGGGATATCATAGTCCTCAGTATCCGCCATATGGGTCGCCTCTGGAAACACAATATGGGACAAGAAATGATTTTGAGGGTGGGCAGCCGAGTCAAACCATGGAATTGGTTTTGTATAATCCCATGTCTCCAACTGTTCCGGAACAAGGTGAGTGTAGAAGTTTCTTGGTTATTTATTATTAAACTTTTAAAGTGGACTAATAAACTGATTTCTTTGTACATTGTATGAAGGTGATGAGGAGGAGAAAAAGAATGAGGAAGAGATGAAAGGAAAAGAGAAGAAGAAGGGCAAGAAGACAAAGAAGAGGAAGCCGCAAGAGGGTGGGCCTGTAATAGCAACCGGACAGAAGCGAACAAGGGCAGCTTCCCAACATATTAAGACACCATTTGTGGAAATGCAGCTGAAGAGAAGGAGAAAGAAGTAATGATGGTGTCTGGTGTTGTTGGTTAAGTAGGGAAAAACCTTAATATTATTTTGTTTCACTACAGGAAAAATGAGTATCCTTAGCGGCCAAATAACGATATGATAGCGGAGTAGAAAGCGCTATATCTTCGCCCATGATAATAGGTCGACGGCTTCTGATAGCGTTTTTTGTGGTGCTATATTTTGTTAATATACTATAGCGTGTTTTCGTGTGCAATATTATATAGTTTAATAGCGATTATATTTTGTTATTAATTATCTAATTATAGCGTTTAATTACTCTTACTTTTAATATTTTAATAGCAGGTTTAGCACGCAATATATTCAAATGAAATAGCATTTGTATTATGCAATTAATTGAATTAAAATAGCATTTTTAATTTTTTATTCCTATAATCAATTCATATTAATAAATGAAAAACTAAATCATTTTATTGATATAAAATTTTAACATAAAAATTCAATGAAACAAGAACAAACCATCTCAAAAGAAAAACCAAATAAAAAGCAAGCAAGATCGGATTCTTGATATGAGCCTACTTAATATTCTTCTTGGGCTTCTACTACAAATGAGATAACAAAAAAATCAGGGTTGTTATGGCCACACTTCTTCTTCTTTGCAGTTCACAACCACACTTCCATGAAGACGAATGAGCTCCAACAAGTGCATTGTTCCTTTGAGGCTTCGTCCACACAAAGATTATGCCGTTTCATCACACAACCATACCTCTAGAGTCTTCCACATTCAAATAATCACCCTGGAGAAGAAATTCAAATAAGTCTTCGACATAAAAAAAAAGTCAAATGTCGAAGACTTATTTGACAAAATAAAAGAATTTAGCTACAACGATGGAAATTACCAGACGCATAGGTAAATTACCAGATGGAAATTATAAGATCATCGATGACTTGTTCTTGTATGTCATCAAAGTAAACCTGCAACAAAACACCATTAAAACCACCCTAAAGAACAAAACAGAAAATCAAAACAGAGAAAACATGTGAATATTCCTAAAACTACATAAGCTAATTGCAAATATATGCTTATGTATAAGGTGATGCCAGTTAAAACGTTCCGTTACTTTTCAACAAAACAAAACATGTCTTCTAATCTATGTGTTTGTGCCGAAAGATAATATTTTGATGGTGGATGTACACATAAACAAAAATAAGAAATACGACAATTAAGAGGACTTGTGTTATTGCTGTTGTAGATGCTTGATTTCGTTGTAGTCAAATCCTACCTGCGCAGCGAATAAGATTTGGTGTGATCTTAGCTAACATAAACCTAAAACAAACCAAAATCAAATCATCAAAAACATGTCTATAAATTCTTAATTCTCTCTTTTGAGTGGAGAGAGATGCATCCCTGATATAAAAAAAAGAGTTAATTACAAAATAGGCATTTGTCTTAGAAATTTATTTCATTTTAGGTACTTGTTTCATGCCTTACGAAAACAGGCACTTTTCCAACGTGAAAAGTCTTCTCTGTCCTCAAAGTAATGATGTCATTATCAACCGAAAAACTTAATATTTTATTCAACAAGGGTATATTGTTGAACGTTTCTGTTTCTTTATGTCCGTGTCGGCTCTAGTTCTTCTTCAGATGCCTACTTTTGCAAATTGGGATTCTAGTTGTCGGAAAGAAAAAATGGTGAAGACGAGAAGTGAGCGGCTCCGGGAAGCTTCTTTAACTTGGAATTCGAGTTGCCTGACTCCAACAGTAGTCCATCGATCTGAGGGTCCAAATATCTCGACTACGTCGGAAAGGGTAATTTAAACCCCCGTAATAAGACCCGATGGTGCAGTGGCGAGCAGGGAACGCAGGCGAATAGTTCGTTGTCCCTTTGTAGATTCGGATCTACTGTTGAAACGGAAGTGCGTTTCCCCAATCGCAGGTAAGAATTTATTTAATCGACGGCGTTGGTATTTGGTTAACGGCGAGCTTTGTAAATTGAATCAATAGAAAATTGATTTCATCATGGCGAGGTCTGTATATTCATGAAGGCAATCATGGAGATCTCTGTAAAGTCAATCAGTAGAAATTTAGCACTGTTACTATGACTATATCGGATTTGAGCTGTTAAAGATGCTGGGTAGTTTCATACCTTGAATTTTGTATGATAACAAGCTCTTAGAATTTACGTTGATAAATTGACATTACCGAAGGTTATGCCGACGATTTCTTGTCGATATTGCTTAGGCATCTCCTTTTATATACACTCAAATATTGGACACTTGAAATTTTCTGGATTTTGCTAGAGTTGCAAGCTAAAAGTGAAATTATGTTGTTCATATGGATTGTTATTAGTTCTATAATGAAACTGCTCATTTAATTTCTTGGTATTGTTGATGTTTCACGTTCTGCTAAACTTTTCAATGACCAGGTCTATGTACATCGTTGCGGTTCGATCCATGGCGGAGTCTCCAACAGCTGAAAAGAATCAACCGTACTCCTCAGGCTTCTTACAATTTTTCTTTTCCTGCAATTTCGAGATTGATTTCAGTTGGGGTATGTGTTCTTTACAACTCTCTTACTTAGAACTGTTCAGATTTGAGTTCTGTTTATATCTTTAAATGTTTATGGATTTTCATGTGATATTTATCTAGAGGAACTGCCTCGGTTTTGGAGAATGCTGGAATCTATGTGACCAAAGTGGAGAAGCTTACTCAATTTGTAGAAATGGCAAGTTTTTTCCCTTAAGCTCGCTGCTCTTGCTTAAGGTTTGGTCTTGTGTTTTCGTTGATTCTTTAAAGATCTTTAATCAAACAAAAGGCTAATGTCAAATTGAGTTGTGACTTTTTCAATGATCATACCATTATCTTGTTGAGTTTAGTATATTAAACTTAGCTCTCCTTCTGTTTTTTCTTCTCAAGAAGCTTGATGGAATTCTCACTAGTCCAAGAGATGTCATATAAAGATGAGTGATTGGTAAACTTGACGTTTTGGATGTTTGATAACACTATATATTTTCCTTAAGAAATGTTGTGATCCTATAGGGAATTATATGTTGATGTAGCCTTGTTAGCTAATTCTCTATGTATAATAATCATGGTGGATAAATGATAGCCAAAAATTATCAACAAATATGTGAATGAGAAACTATATATTACTCTATTTGGGTTAACAATTCCTTGACTAGGGTTTAGTGTTATCTCGTTTAGACTTTTATCATCTCATCAGCTAGTTTAGACATTGTCCCACCAAAAAAAAAAAGCTAGTTTAGACATTGTGTTTGGGTTCCTCATTTACAATTTAGGGTTTAGTTTGCCCTTTTAGATGTCTTTTATGGATTGCCTATTGTAGATTAATCAGTTTGGGTTCATCCGTCCTTGACTAGGGTTTAGTGTTCTCTCGATTAGAGTTTTATCTCGTAAAGTAGTTAAAATATTGTGTTTGGGTTCTCCATTTACTATCAACTAGGGTTTAGTTTTTCTCTTTTAGATTTTTGTTATAAATAGTCCACTGTATATAAATCGATTTGGGTTCACCCGTCCTTGACTAGGGTTTAGCATTCTCATGTTTAGACTATTAGCATCATATTAAGCGGTGAAACACTTAGCTTTCCTATCTAATCATGAACCACAAATATCGAACACTAATGCAAAATTACACATCATTACATTGAAGCTTTTAAACACCATTTACCTGCTCACATGTAGCCATTATCTCCTAACGATTATTTGCTTCCATCACAACCTTTGCGTTTGTTTTCCTCCCACTACACTCTTTCTACACTTACAATCCAGGCTTATATTTATGAAACGCAGAAATCCTTGTTGGAGCACCCAGTTTCGTAGGCTGATTCCTGTCCACAAATTAGCATTAATTACTGTGTCTTACAGTGTCCTAATTCAGTTTCTCCACAAATTAAACCTTTTTACGTAAACCATGTACTAATATCTGCTGACATCATCAACCCACTTGCAAACCTATATTTCACTTTTCCGTTTATTCACCAAGGGTAAAATCGTCCGAATTTGGTAAGTTATGTGCTACTGTTTAATTTAACTGTGCATAGTGCCTATTCTGAAAGAAATAAATTTAAAATGCCTGTTTCCGATATAAGCTCTAAAAAAAACGGTATTGAGAATTGAAGAGACACAAAGATTATGCAGCTCAAATAGTAAAAATGGATTGAGTAATTTAACATTTAAGACACTTACCAGAGTAAGAAATAAGAAGATGATAGTGATGAAGTTGGCAACCTTCAAGCAACTCCTCTTCGATTCGTCAACCTTCCGGAGCCGACGCTTCGTCTACTGATTTTCTTCCACGTCTACTCAAATAAAACCAAGTAAAAGTCTTACACCCAAATTAGTAGAAATTAAAGATTCAACCCTAACCTCGAATCTGATTTCACCTCAACTCGATTCATCACTTATCTTCTTTATCCATTATTTTAATCCACAGATTCATCAATCGCGTTAGGACTCCTCAACACGAGGAATTAGAAAAAATCATGGATGAAAAAACACAATTCGAGAACCCTAATCTAAGAAGAATTCGGGAGAGACTCACTAACGGCTAAGATGTGGAAACGGCCACAAATCTAAGAGACGAGATGGAGCTAGTGTGGACGGAAGAGATCCCTTGCCAGTTGCCACTGTCGAAGAACTATCAACGTCTTCTTCGATTACTTTAGCGGTACATCATAAAAGGCCGACGAGATCTAAAAAAAAAAATTAGATCTGAAAAAGTTGAGTTTTTGGAGAAGACGAGAAAAGAGGGAGAAGAAGAAGAAGGTGAAAAAGATGAGGAAGGAGATGAAGAAACGAAGAGATGACGAAATAAAGAGAAGAAGTGGATTGAGCGAGAATAGAGTGAAGGAGACGACGAGAAAAGCGAAAGAAGATAGAAAGTTTCATTAGACAAGAATAGAGTGAAAGAAAAAAAAATTAAATATACTAAAGATAATTTTGGAGCCCTAATTTTAGTTTAGGCGGTCAATGAATTATTTTTTCCGCTAGTTTTATCATAACGTTTTAGTTATGTATATGCTATCAAATACCATGTTAAAAGATTTTTAAGCGAAAATTTTGAGTCAGCGCATAATTTTTTTATCTGTACAACATATTATAGCGTTTATAAATTTAGAAACGCTAAGAAAAAATAAAGGGTAAGTCAATTATAGCAACAATACATAAAACACTATCTTTTAATGCTATTAAAACTCAATATTCTTGTAGTGTTTTTTGAACAAGTTTGTGTTTGGTACTATTAGGATTATTTTGTTAAGTACTTAATATTATATTTTGGTAATTTAAAACTATTTAAGTGATTGTACAAAGTATTAGATACAAGTGTGTATGGTACAACTGCTTGGTATTCATGGTACTGCTTGGTATTCATGGTACAACTGCCTGGTAAACTGTTTGGTATTCATGGTACAACTGCCTGGTACAACTGCCTGGTACAACTGCCTGGTACAACTGCCTGGTATTCAGTGAATACTATTCACGGTACAACTACTGGTACAACTGTTTGTGAATTTGGTGAAAACATAGACCAATCAATTTAAGAATAAAACATACAATTTTGAAACACTTAGGCAATTTTAGTTAATTAGTCTACATAGGGAAATTAGAAAATTTAGAAGTCTACCAATATTTAGAGAAATACATAATCATACAACAACTACCACTTAGCTAGCAACTCCCTCAGCTTGCCAATCTCAGTTTCTTTCTCCTCCAAACGCTTCTCAAGATCATCGATTTGAGCACGCATGTTTCGAACAGACTCGCGAATTGACTCCAACATAGGATTTTGGTAAGCGTGGTGGATTGATTCTTTCTGGGTTTCAAATTTGTTATGGACGACAGTAAACTCCTCATTAACCGCATCATCCCACCACTTTTGCAGGTGTTCTCCACCATCCTAAGCATAATCATCAGTTTAAAACACATAAACTCAAAATTACTCATCACTATAGTTAGAAAAATTATCATCATACCTCAGAATTTGGACATTTGTATTCTTTTCTTCCTTGATTATTGCTAGTGGTGCAAACAACAAGCTTAACGTAGGTTCCACAGAAACAATATCTCGGAATATCCTAATTACCGTCAGCTCTTGCCCAGCTCATATCTTCACTCGGTTCTGATTCGGAGCTTTGAGTATAACTGATTGGCATTCTCACTGCAGAAAATCAAGAAGAATCGGCAATTTAAAAACAAAACTCTAAATCCGAATCGACCAACCCTAGATCTATGAATTACAAATCAAAAACGAATTACCCTAGAGCTTATGGAATTTAGAAATCAAATAAGAAAACCCTAGATCTAGGAATAAATCAATTACGAAAACCCTAAATCTAGGAATTAGAAAACAAAAACGAAAACCCTAGATCTAGGAATTAGAAATCAATTAAGCACCAACCTTGTTAGATAGCAGTCGTTCGCCGCCGGGATCTCCGCTCTCGCTCGCCGGAATCTCCGTTCTCGCCGCCGGAAATTTTCTAGTCTCTGGGTTTCGCAATTGAGAGAGAGAGAGTTAAGGTAAGAGAGAGAGAGGAGACATAGAAAATATAAAAAAATGCGTAAAACCCTTTCCTTTTTAAATGAATATCTAAAAACAAAAACAAAAGAATATCTAATAAAAAATTGAGTTTGGCGGTTGTACTTATTTAATAGTATTAAATATGTGGGACCCATAATGGCTGAATATACTCATAGTTGTCCAGTTGTACTAGGAGATACATAGTTGGACTTTTAACACTTTTTCTTGTTTGCAGTTGGACTAGTATTTAAATAATTAATTATAAGTTGGACAAATGATTATTCTGAATTATTTGGCATATCCAAGGTTTACATAATATTATATTTACCAAATCATTGTTTTATCGTCTTTCACTACGATTTAGGTTATCTTATAGTAAGTATCCCTTATACTAGAAGAGGTTGTTTGTGTGAGCACGGAAGCTCCGTCCGTAGTCCGATTCCCGCTTCGGAAGCTAAAACGGAATCGGAAGCTTCAGGAAGCGCCCGAAAGCGTGGTGGAAGCGCGATTCCGAAAAAAAGGAAATAGGAAGCGTTTTGGAAGCTATGATTCCGTTTAGGAAGCGTTCTATTTTTATGCGATTCTGATTTTGGAATCGTTATTAAGGAAATATTTAGGAAGCGTGATATATTTTTTGTATTTCTTAATTAAATATGAAATTAGAAAACCCTAATTTCAGTTTACTAAACAAGAGAATACCAATCGTGGCTAAATTTCGTCTTTGGCAAAACTCTTGTTGGGATTGACCCATTTGATTGGCCCTGCAAAAGAGAAAGCTAGGTTAGTGATGATGAAGAACAAGGAAGTTCTGAAGTAGAACAAGAAGAAGAAGCTGTCATGGTTGAAGAAGAAGAGAGGTCAACTAAAGAAGAAGAAGGAGTCAACGTAAAAAGAAGATGTGTTTTGAGTTAAGAGATGGAGTGGGCCTAAGTGGTTAAGGTGTGGCCCAACAGAAGAAAGGTGTTGTCTAATGGGTCTAACTAAAGCCCATTCGTAGAACACTACAAGAAAACAGGTGATTTGCGTGGAACTATTGCGAGGAACAATATGCCTCGCTATATAGCATGTAATGAGCGTGGAAAACGCGTCGAAATGTCATTCGATGCTATTTCGTCGCTACTTTGCGTGGAACTTGTTCGTCGCAACTTTTGCGTGTATTTAGCGACGAATATGAGTGGAACTAGTGAATTCGTCGCAAACGCTACGCAAATAAGCGACGAATTTGCATGGACGGATTCGATGCAAAGTTGCGACGCATTTGAGACGATTTTATAGTGGTAGGTGAGAAACGTTTTAAAAATGAACCTTTCATCCTTGCCGCTCAAGCACAACAAGTTAGTTTCATTCCATATCCGAAGATTCGGCAAACTGGGTTATCATGGTTCTCTGTCATTCAAATTTCACCTAGAGGACGTATTGTTGGAGTCTCTGATGAAGTACCATTACAAAACACACAAGGAGAGATCCATGTTCCAGAACATGCACTAGAAAGCATCATACTTATTGACCAGAACAATCGAGAACTAGAAGAAGCTGGTGATTATTCGGAAGTCGAAGATGAAGTCTATGATGAGTTTGATGAGGATTCAGAATCATATGATAGTGGTTCTGATGATGAAGATTGTGAGAATTAATATGATTGTATCTTTCTATTATGAATAATAAAGTTTGAATTTTTTTCCTTTCCAAAAATTATCTTGAATAAGAAGATGTTCCTTATTCACATATATGTTATCTAGTACTTAGATCTCAAATACATAAATTTGATTTTTTTTTTTTGACTAAAACCATTCATTATGAGATATCCTACAGTATAAATACATTAGTTTGATCAATATCAATAAGTAAATCTCCATTAAAAACATATCTTATTATAGTTTGCGAGGATATTGCAATGAATTAGCTTCGAACCCTCGTAAATTCCTCGCAAAGTTTCAAAAATTTTTTTAAAATTTTAAGACAATGCGATGAAAATTGCGACGAGTTTTTGGGAATTCGTCGTTTAATTTTTTTATTTGTGACGAATTAGCGTCAGCGTGTCGCAATAAAATTGCGGGAAAACACGCGCTAAAGAGTTGGCCAAAATTTCGGCAAAATATTGGCGTCACGTTTGCGAGGAATTGGCGAGGCTAAACAATTAATATGTTTAAGAAACGTCTCCACTTCCTCCTCTTATTTCTTTGTCTCTGCGATTCCCAAACGCTCTCATCATCTCTCTGGGTTGGATAATTTCTCATCAATTTCTTTGTTCGTCTGAATCTGCTTCTCTAATTCCTTTCTTTGATTCCCAGTGTATCTTCTTCTCTCTTTGGGTCTCAAATTCTCAATTCCTCCTCACTATCTTCGTCCCCAATTCTCCTCTTCTCGAATACTCCCTACCGATCCTTGTAAAAACACTCTAATCTAAAGGTTGTTTCTTGACATGGGTTTTGCTTCTTACTTCAGTCGATCGTTTGTTGAATTGTTTATGAGGGTTTTTAAACTCAATTTTTTTTCCTCGATTTGGCCTATTTGGTACTTAGGGTTTGTAATCGCTGATGTTATGCATATTAGAGATGGAAATTTATGTTCGTTTGATGCTTCTTTGCTGGTCAATCGGTTGTTTGTAAGAGGTTTTTGATTGTATCTTGATTCAGACTTATTGTATTGTCGTAACTTGATGTGTCTTCTTTTGTTACTGTTTTAGATTGTTAGTCGATGGTTCTCTGCTCTATGTCTTGCCTTCTTTTTCTCTGTGTTGTTGTTTCATATCTCTTCCATGTTTATTTCATGAATCTTATATACAAAATTTACTACCTAGGTGATTTTATTGCTTTGTTCTGTGAGCTATTTCATTCACTCATGGTACAAGTAAAGGCTTAGAGCTGGTCAGAGATTTGATTGCTTTGTTTCAATGGCATGTTTCAATTTATTTGCTTTCACTTTCGTTGTTGGTTTATTACTTTGGTTTCAATGCCTTGTTTCATTATTACTCGATTGTTCCTTTTGCAATATTGATTTTGGATACGTATAATAGATATTATTTGATAGTTCTTGGTGTTTATAATTGTAGATGGAGGGAAGGGGTCATTATAGACAGTACAGGAGTAATAGAAGACGGTCTACAGCTGCTACGACTTCACGGTCCTCTCCTCATTCGACTACACGATCTTCTCCTACTATAACTTCACAGTTGCCACGGACCCCATCCTTGTCACCAAACTCCACTCCAGTTCAAGAGACAGATCAGTCTTCTACTCAGGCTCCTTCCCCACCTGAAGCTCAAGCGCATTACGAAATGGGACAGTTAACACTCGAAGAGCTTCTTGTAAGCCTGGGACGGGCTGGACTTACAAAATTAGACCCTAAGTGTCCCCCAAGAACACAATGGTAACGTCTTAACTTGTATTCTGTGTATTTTCAATACAGTGACAACATTTAATTACTAACTTTTGTTGTTTTCTATAGGTTTGAGATCGATAATGAAGTTGGGAAGGTGGTCTCCAATTGTATAAAAGGATTCTTCACTGAACCACACGCCAACATCTCACAGACACCTAAGAAGATTGTTGACACTTGGTTTCATATGTTTACGGTAATTGATTAGAGTTTTGATTTTTTATTTGTTGAAGTAGTTTGTAATTTGTTCTTCATGTATTGATTAATTTTATTTCCTTTTTCACAGCAACAATACTAGTTAGCAAGTGGAAAAGTAAGTGGAAGACGTTAGGTAATAAAGCAATGCCTATGTGGATGGATCCAGAGGTATGGAAGGGCCTCAAAGTTTTTTGGATTGATCCACATTCAGAAGATAAAAGTGGTAAGTGTTCTAAAGCTCGCAACACAAGCGTGGGCGGTCACGGCACGAGTAGACACACCTCAGGGCAGAAGACTTATGCACGTCGTGCATTAGAAAGCGTTAGTATTTTCTGCTTTTCACGTTTAATTTCATATTCCAGTTTCTTGATAATGATTATTATTTTAACTTTCATGTAGGCTGAGAAGAATGGAGGTGTACTCCCTCCAATTGTCGAGATAATGGAGCAGACTCACAAGAGAAAGAATGGAGTTTTCGTTGACGGTTTAGCTGAGCAAATCTGCAAAGAAGTTTCAGCCAAGATTGCAGAGCGGGAGTCTCAGCTCTCTCCAGGACACTCTGACCAGCCTGGTGGCCTATCCATAGCTGAGAAGAACAATATTTTGTTGGAGGTATTATTTTTTTAACTCTATTAGTATATAGATATGGACCTACTTGCTTATTCACATATACCTATTTATTTTTCAATCTTGTTTGAGTTCTTTGAGTCTTCTTCAATCTTCATCATCGTTTTAACATCATATCTATCTATATCATTGAACATTTTGGCTATTAAGATCAGAGGTGCAATAGTTTAATGATGGTTTAAGTGAATTTTAAGTAATGTTCTGTCTAAAGATATGTGGTTTTGCTGACATATCTTTTTCTTATATTGAATACATATCTGTTTCTTTTTTTGTGTGTGTGACATACGCCTGTTTTTGGTGTTGTTTAGACTTTTGTGATATGCATCTTCTTCTAAGTTGTGATATGCATCTTCTTCTAAGTCACTATTTTATCTTCTGGTTTTGTTATCTATTCAAATTTTCTTCACCATGTTTTTTCCAGGGTGCTCCAAAGAATAAAAAGGGACGGATTTATGGTGTTGGTTCTATTCAAGTTATCCCATCTGCTTCATCATTTGATCCTCCACATACTTCAGATGATTATGTTGATCGGCAAACCTATGAAGCGGAGAGAAAACGAAACAACGACCTTCTTAGACGGATCCATGGCTACGATTATCTCTTTGAAATTGTAGCGCAAGATTTTCCAGCTCTAGCAACAGCACTTAGGGCTCAAAGACCTCCAACGCATGGAGCAGAAGCCCAAACAGAGTAACCACGACACCAAACAGAGGAAGCTGCAACAGCTCAGGGTACTCCTCAAGCATGATCCCATGATTTTGGTTTTTTTGTTGTATTATAAACCTAAATCTATCGGCAACATTACTTTTTGTCAATATCAAACTATTTCAGTTTTAATCAATGTTAATTACTATTTGCTTTTGATTTCAGTTTAATTTCGTGTTAATTTTAATTACGGATTAAAACAAAAACAAACCTAATTTGTGAAACTGGATTAAAATTGGATTCAAGAACTATATCCATCGTAATTTGCATATTTGTTGCTAACTAGCGATGCGGTTACGAGGAATACGTCAATGCAAATACGACGCAAATTTGCGTGGGACTTATTCGATGCAAATTCATCGCAAACAGTGCGTCGATTTTGCGACTGATTGTCGCGTGGAAACTGCGAGGGATTTTTTTCGTCGCAAACGTTGCATGGAAACTACGACGAATTATGATTTGCGACGAGAGTTTAGCGACGAATCTTAATTCATCGCATAAGACATGCAAAGGGTCTTTTGCGACGCTTTTGCGAGGAATACCTGCCTCGCAAATGACATGTTTTCTTGTAGTGGAAGTAATTATAATGTCCAAGTATAACTAAGCGTTAAGTGAGTTGTTGAGAGTGGTTGTAGTCTAAGGTAAGGTTAAGGTACTTAAGGTTGCTTGTAAACTAGAGCCTAGAAGAATGGCCTAGTAGAAGTTGTTATGTCTAGAGTCTAAGTAATCATGTTGTAGCAAGTAGAAATCTAGTATAAGTATGAGTATGTAATGTTGAAAGAAGGTAAGAAAAATGAGAATGAATTAAAAGAAAACAAACCTGAGAGTTTAAGAGTGAAATCCAACAACTCTCCACTCTCCAGTCTCCACGAACTTGACCTAAGAGCAAAGCAAGGTGTTCTTCATTCTCTCATTTTGCCGTAGATTATGATTTTTTACTTGTTACTTGTTAGTGTTAATATAATATTGTTCATGTTTTCCTTGAATGAATGCTCTGTTTGTTTATAGTTTTTGAAGATAAGTGGAGAAGTTGCTAATAATTTAATCTCATACCACGAAAGAATAGTGATTGCTTACAACACAAACTATTCAAACCTTAAATCCCTTTTCTCATAACATAGTTCTATCATCGTAGCTTAATATCAATCGTGGCTTGAATAGTTTGTTGATAGTGTTCTGCTTTTGAAATAGAAAATTGAATTTGATATAACACAGATGATGGTACGTGACTACGTGTGTTGATTGTTTATTAAATTTTAACAAAAAAAATCTTTGTTTTTCAGAAACATGAACACATCAACATCTGAAGATTCTTCACAACGTTCTGAAGAAAACATAAATACGGATGATCCGTCTAATGTGGATGAGAAAGCACCTTTGTGGATTTATGTGAACAAAATTGAGAAGCTAGCAGGGGGTGGATCGTGGAGGTTTAAATGCAAATTTTGCAAGACAATATATGTTGGATCGTGAAGGAATTAAGGGAATTAAAGGATGCTCTAAGGTTACTTCTCAACAAAGAGCCAACATGAAAAAGTTAGTTGAAGATTGCAAAGAGAGGATAAAACGTGCAGCTCCTAAACCAGTCCCATTGCCATCGTCATCAAGGAATGCAGCTAGTTCTTCTCTCGATTATGATATGAGCTATAGAGATCATGTTGCAAGTGGGTTTGATCCAAAGAAAAGAAAAGGAATGGGTACTCCTTTGGAAAAATCATTTAAGAATGAGGCTAGGGAGCAATGTGATGGTGAGGTAGCTAGAATGTTCTACACAGGCGGTTTGTCTTTCAACCTTGCAAGAAATCCTCACTACCAAAAATCATATACGCGTGCATCATACCTTCCCGGATATGTTCCTCCTGGATATAATTCATTGAGGACTACACTTCTTCAGAAAGAAAGAAAGAATCTTGATATGCACTTGTTGCCTTTAAAGAACACATGGAAACAAAAAGGAGTTAGTGTATGTAGTGATGGTTGGTCAGATCCACAAAGAAGACCGATATTTAACTTGATTGCTGCAAATGAGAGTGGTCCAATGATGTTAAGGGCGATCAATAGCCAAGGTGAAACAAAAACTGGCGAGATGATTGCGGATCTGATTATAGAATGCATCAAGGAGATTGGGCATGAAAATGTGGTTCAAGTAGTCACCGACAACGCTTCAAATTGTGTAAAAGCTGGTTCACTAATTTCAACCAAATTTCCTACTATCTTCTGGACTCCATGTGTGGTACATACCTTGAATCTTGCTTTGAAGAATATATGTTCACCATTACAAACCACAAGAAACAATGAAGATGTGTATGAAGCTTGTTATTGGATAAAGTCTCTCAGTGAGGATGTTATTTGGATCAAGAATTTCATCATGAATCATGGAATGAGACTTGTGATGTTCACAGAGCATTGCGATCTTAAACTTCTTACAATTGCTTCTACGAGGTTTGTTTTTTCTTTGTTAAGTTAAATAATACATATATTCTTAAATTCAATATATAAGATTATCAAACTTTATTTTTTCAGGTTTGCATCCACGGTTGTAATGTTTAAGAGATTTAAAAAAATAAAAACCGGATTGCAACAAATGGTGATTAGTCCTAAATGGGATGATTATAAAGAGGATGGTGTGGCAAAAGCATCTGCGGTGAAAAAAAAAGATATTAGATGAGATGTTTTGGGATGAACTTGAATATGCTTTAACTTTCACATTGCCTATTTATAATGTGATTAGAGCTGCTGATACCGATAGACCTTCTCTTCATTTAGTCTATGATTGGTGGGAGAGTATGATTCAAAATGTGAAGAATGTTATAAACCACATGTTGGAAGGACTCCATAACCGTGGACCTTATGCATATTCTAGAAGGCCCATGTCCATGTCCTAGAAGGCCCATGCCCATGTTCTTGAAGATTCTCCTTATGACGGCCTATATTGTACTTAGTGGGCTTTTGGGCTTTAGGGTTTACTAGCCCAATGGGGATTTGTCTCCCCTCATCATGTATATATATGTATCGAAATCTCATTCATTAATCAATAGAACAACACAGTTTACAACACGTTATCAGCACGAGTTTGCTCTTAACAACCCTAACCCTAAAAATCGCGGTACTGTTCACGCCGACACTGTTCATCGCCGATACTGTTCATCGCCGATACTGTTCACCGCCGATACTGTTCACGCCGACACTGTTCATCGCCGATACTGTTCATCGCCGATACTGTTCACGCCGACACAGTTCATCGCGACACTGTTCATCGCGGTACTGTTCATCGTGGTACTGTTTGCGGTTCGTTGCAGCAGCGTGAGTTACCGAGGTCTTTAGCTCCCGGTTCTAGTCCATACAACCCCATAAGGTGAAAGGTAACATCAAAACCCTAAAGCTAAAGAGCCAACAATTGAATTTGAAAGTTAAGCAAAGAGAAACCCTAAAACGAATGATGATTGATTAAGTGATTGCTTTGCTTGTGAGATCCGATTGTTTGACTCGTTTAGGTTGCTAGAAAAAGTTGATTTGATTATCGCTTAAGCTAAACTCGCCTAAGTTGCTAGAGAAGTTTTAATTATCTAAACCTAAAAATCGCAAATTACATGGGTTACGCAAATTACATAGGTTACGCAAATTACATGGGTTACGCAAATTATTTGCTTAGGGCGTTTTTAATTTGATTGTTTCTTTGATTGATTACATGCATAAGTTGTTAGAAACCCTAAAATTAAAATTGCATGAACCCTAGATAACTTAGATAATCCTAAAACCCTAAATAAAATAGGAAACCCTAGAAAATAGGAAATCTTTAAAATCCTAAATCTTAGGGATAATAGAAAATCCTAAAACCCTAAATAAAATAGGAAATATCAAAACCCTAAATAATAGGAAATCTCAACAACCCTAAATCCTAAATAAAATAGGAAATCCTAAAAACCCTAAAATCTTAAATAGAAAATCTTAAAACTCTAAAACCCTAATCAAATTAGGAAATATTTAGAAATAGGAAAATTAATCCTAAAGTAAAGAGGAAAGTAAATCCTAAAAAGGAAAAGGAAAAGTTAATCCTAATAAAAAGAGGAAATCTAATCCTAAGCAAAAGAGGAAAGTCAAATCCCTAAGTAAATCGATTCATGGTTCGGTCTCAAATACCGCATGACACTAACGATTACATGATTTTGACTCAAAACTTTTCCTTGTAGATGTTGAATTACAACTTGTACTTTACTGCCCTAAATCTCTTAGGAGATAATTATTTTAAAATGGGCAATGGATACTAAGATTATCCTAAAGTCAAAAGGACTTGGTGAATGTATCTAATAAGGCAAGAATGCCAAGAGAGAAAGATAGATACAAGACAATATTAGCCACCATCTTATTGAGAGTCTCATAATCCAGGACTATAAGTCCGTGGATGAGTCTATTGCTAGATGAAAAAAAAAATAAAAATAATGACTTACAGATAAAAACAGTGAGTTACGACCTCATAGATTAACCCCATTACCTAATGCCAATAAGGCCGCAGAGGATAAGAAAGAATCCAAAGAATCTAACCACGTCTAAAGTGATAGACCACACGGCCGTGACCGTGGTGGATGGAAAGGACGTGGTTGTGGCCACTATAACTCATCCGGCCGTGGGAACCACTATAACCGTGGATGTAGACCCAATTCCGGCCGTGGTCGAGGGCGAGGACGATGTGGTATTTCCAAACCACAACACTCGACCAAATGAGTATGCCATAGATGTGGTATTGAAAGGACGTGGTTGTGGCCACTATAACTCATCCGGCCGTGGGAACCACTTTAACCGTGGATGTAGACCCAATTCCGGCCGTGGTCGAGGGCGAGGACGATGTGGTATTTCCAAACCACAACACTTGACCAAATGAGTATGCCATAGATATGGAATGGGAAACCATTGGGCTAAGATATGTAGGACTTCCAAACATCGTTGTGACCTCTATCAAGAGAGTGTAAAAGGGAAGAATCCTAAAGCCCATTTGGTATATAAAGATGGTGAACATGATCAAGATGATCTAATAGAGTATGAAACTTCTGATTGCATAAAAGAATCAAGTTGATAAATCTTACTTCGACATCAAAACCTCTATGTTTTTCTTTGCATTTTATGTGTTCATTGATTGTTATTTGCTTGAATTTATTTTATATTATTTTATGTTTAGAACATGATTCTTGTCCATATAAGAAATGGCCGAGGACAAGAACATAATTGTGGTGGATAGTGGAGCCACACAAAAGATAAGAGATATTTTCCTAAATCTCATAATGAAAAATGCCAATATTAGCACCATAGCGGGTATAGCTAGTCTTATTGAGGGCCATGGTCAAGCCCATATACTTTTATCAAAGGGCACGCATCTTGAAATAAGCGATGCCCTATATTCACCCAGCTCGAAGAGGAGCTTGTCAAGTTTCAAAAATATAAGATTGAATGGTTTCCATATTGAAACAAAGGGTGAAGGGAACAAAGAATTCCTAAATATAATTGAGATCACCCAAGGACATAAGAAAGTCCTAAGAGACTATACCCGCATTATCCACTGGTCTCTACTATGCTAAAATCGATATGATCGAAGCTAATATGGCAATGAACAAAGAGTTCATCGAGAAATTCACTTTATGGCATGACCGGCTTGGCCATCCGGGTCATAGTATGATGCGTAAGCTTATGATAAATTCAAAGGGGCACACCCTAAAAGAGAAAAGAGTTATCCCTAAGAATCTCACGTGTGAAGCATGTTCACAAGGGAAACTCATTATAAGGCCATCACCGGCTAAGGTAAATAAAGAGACCTTAAAATTTATGGAAAGGATACAAGGAGATATATGTATGGTCCTCATTGATGCATCGACAAGATGGTCGCATGTTTGTCTCCTATCTACTAGAAACCAAGTGTTTGCTAGGTTATTGGCCCAGATAATAAGACTGCGAGCCCACTTTCCAGATTTTCCGCTTAAGACTATACGTCTAGACAATGCCGGTGAATTCACGTCCCAAGCGTTTAATGACTACTGTATGTCCATGGGGGTAAGTGTAGAACATCCCGTAGCACATGTACATACACAGAATGGATTAGCGGAATCCTTCATTAAACGAATTCAATTGATAGCTCGACCATTACTCATGAGGTCGAAGCTTCCTGTAGCCGCTTGGGGACACGCTGTTTTACATGCATCAGGGCTTATACGCATAAGGCCATCTAGTGAAAATAGATATTCACCATCCCAATTACTCATGGGTCATGAGCCAGACATATCCCATCTAAAGACTTTCGGGTGTGCCATATATGTACCGATTGCTCCACTACATAGAACAAAGATGGGACCTCAAAGGAGGATGGGAATATATGTTGGATTTGATTCTCCCACCATTATTAAGTATCTAGAGCCAACTACGGGTGATCTATTTAAGGCTAGATACGCGGATTGTCATTTGAATGAATCCGAATTTCCTACTATAGGTGGAGAGACGAACAAGCTGGGTAAAGCAATAAAAGAAATATAATGAAATCAAACATCCTTAAATTGGCAAGATCCTCGGACTCTGGCATGAGAATCAGAGGTCCATAAGATTATACATTTGAAAAGCTAGCTAATCAATTGCCAGATTCCTTTGCTGACCCAAAGAAAGTTACAAAAACGTACATACCAGCTTGTAATGCACCAGTACGTATTGATATCCAAAAGCGAATCAATGAAATTGCTACCGAGTCTAACACACGAAAGAAACGTGGTAGACCAATAGGTTCCAAAGATAAAAATCCTCGAAAATCAAAGAAAGGTGCAATAGGAATCCGAGGTTACTAAGGAAACCATCCCAGACATGGAGATAAGGCCGGCCGGCTCTAAGGTACAGGTACCATATAATGTAGCTTGGGACGCCAAGCTGCAAAGTATTAAAGGTCCTGACCATAATAAATCTCAAATCGATTATATCATGTCTGGAACATAATGGAACATATAAGAAATGTCGACATAAGATGATTTTGCATGCAAGGTAGCACTTGAATTTATGAATATAAATGAGGATCAGGAGCCCACGTCTATACTAGAGTGCACTCAAAGACTTGATTGATTAAATGGTACAAGACCATAAAACGTGGAGCTAAGAATCATTAAGAAAAGGAATGAGTTTGGTCCGACCTTAAGGACACCATTCGATGTAAAAACCAGTAGGACACAAATGGGTCTTTGTGAAGAAGAGAAATGAGAATAATGAAATCGTGAGATATAAGGCACGGCTTGTAGCACAAGGATTCTCACAAAGACCGGGGATAGATTATGAAGAAACATACTCCCCTGTGGTGGATGCTAAGACATTTAAATTTTGCTAAGTCTGGCTATATAAAGAAAAAGACTTGATTTGCGGCTAATGGATGTAATGCCTGCATATTTATATAAGTCCACTGGATGATATATATGAGATTACCAGAGGGTATTGAGCTCAAAGATAAAGATAAGAAAGGGTCTCGAGACCAATACTGCATAAGGCTGAACAAATCGCTTTATGGACTGAAACAAAGTGGACGCATGTGGTACAATAGATTAAGCGAGTACCTAGTCAGAGAAGGTTATAAGAATGATCCCATCAGTCCATGTATCTTCATAAAGAAATTTGCAAACGAAGGGTTTGTGATAATAGCAGTATATGTGGATGATTTGAACATCCTTGGAACCTCTGGGGAAATCGCCCAAACAGTCAAATATCTAAAGAAAGAATTCGAGATGAAAGACCTAGGCAAGACAAAATTCTGTTTGGGATTGCAACTTGAGTACGTGAATAATGGAATCCTTGTGCATCAAAAGGCATATACTGAAAAAGTACTCAAGAGATTCAATATGGACCAGGCCCACCCATTGAGCAGCCCAATGGTGGTGAGAAGCCTCGGATTGGATAGGGATCCATTCGGTCCAAAGAAGGATGAGGAAGAAGTTCTCGATCCTGAAGTGCCATACCTTAGTGCCATAGGAGCGTTAATGTACTTGGCTAGCCACACTAGACCAGACATATGTTTTGCCGTGAACCTCCTTTGCCTAAATTTAGTTCATGATCAACCCAAAGGCACTAGAAAGGTTTGAAGGAAGGTTTGGTTAAATTTTAAATTCTATTCTTCCTATGTTTGTTTATTTAGGTTTTATTCTATACTGATCTAACCAAAGAAGGTCTAGTTTGCTTTGGTTTAGTTTGTTTTGCTGATGCAGGTAAAATCAGATTATGGCATGGTCAATAGATAGGAACTACGTGTGGCTTGATCCCTTCCAAGGGTACGTAGGCAGCCTTCTTCAAGGCGCAGCTACTACAACATCAAAGACCATCATATGAGGAGACAACACAGCCTGTATCGCTCAGCTCAAGGACGGCTACATCAAGGGAGATCGGACGAAGCACATTCTAACAAAGTTCTTCTTCACGCATGACTTGCAAAGGGATGGAGAAGTTCGAGTGGTACAAGTTCGATCCAGCGACAACTCAGCCGATCTCTTTACCAAGGCATTACCAACATCGACATTGAGGAAGCTCACGCATCAAATTGGAATGCGGAGACTTAAGGACTTGCAGGGATGACCAAAACAGGGGGAGTAATACGTGCTGTACTCTTTTTCCTTAACCATGGTTTTGTCCCAATGGGTTTTCCTGGTAAGGTTTTAATGAGGCAGCATCCCCAAGCGTATTACTGAGATCCTTTGGCATCTACACGGTTATGTCATCCAAGGGGGAGTGTTATAAACCACATGTTGGAAGGACTCCATAACCGTGGACCTTATGCATATTCTAGAAGGCCCATGTCCATGTCCTAGAAGGCCCATGCCCATGTTCTTGAAGATTCTCCTTATGACGGCCTATATTGTACTTAGTGGGCTTTTGGGCTTTAGGGTTTACTAGCCCAATGGGGATTTGTCTCCCCTCATCATGTATATATATGTATCGAAATCTCATTCATTAATCAATAGAACAACACAGTTTACAACAAAGAAGGCTATCTTTAGAAAAGAAAGAAAAGAATTTGATGACTACTCAGTTTTTTGGAATGCCGTGCAATCTATTTTGACGTCACGTTGGAGCAAGAGTAACACCCCTTTACATTGTATGGCACATTCTTTGAATCCCACGTAAGTATTTTTTCCTTTATAATTTTACTTTATATATTGTCTTATGAATTGAAATAGAAATTAATTGGTATTTAAACATCATCATAATTGTATATTTTTGTTGAATGCAGATATTATAGTTCAGAGTGGCTTGGAGAAGAGACCATTAGAAAAGCTCCACATCAAGATTTGGAGGTTACAAGAGAAAGAAAAAATTGCATCATGAGATATTTTCCAGATCAAGATGAAAGGAGAGAGGTTAACGTTGAATACTCTAATTTTTCTTTATGCTTGGAAGATTTTGGTAGTGTTGATGCAATGCATGATAGGTTTATCTTAGAACCTTTAAAATGGTGGGCTGTTCATGGAGCTTCAGCACCAAAGCTCCAAGCTTTAGCATTTAAGTTGCTTGGACAACCTTCTTCATCATCATGTTGTGAAAGGAATTGGAGCACTTACAAATTCATACATTCGGCAACAAGAAACAAGATTGCTCCACAAAGAGCAGAAGATTTGGTATTTGTGCATACTAATCTTCGTCTTCTATCTAGAAGGAGTTCTACTTATAAAGATGGTCCTAATCATATGTGGGATGTTGGTGGTGACCAATTTGATTCATTGGATGAGATAAATCTTGGAAGACTTGAGTTTGAGGATCTTTCTCTTGATGAACCAGAGATGGAGTCTGTTGTGTTTGCTAATGGTGATGAAAATGAAAAGGAAGACGATGGTCCAAATCTTTGACTTATGCGTTATGTTTTTTTTTTAATCTCTAATCAACTTAATTAAGTATTGGATCTCTTTTATTTAAGACAAGAGTTATTTAATCACATTTGAGCTATTTAATCACATTTGATAATATATATATATATATATATTACACGCTTCCAAAACGTACCCATATCGTAAATTTTTGAAAAAATCGCTTCCACGCTTCCAAACGCTTCGCTTCCCCGCACCCGCTTCTGATTCCATGCAACTTAAGAACACCATTTTCCATAGATTTTTTAAAAAGTTGTATTCGAATGTTTAAATATTTTTTAAAAATTAATTCTATTATGATACTATTATAGAATTATTCTTTTATTAATTTATTTTTTTAAAATGTTGTTTTATAATACTAAAGTAGCTGTACAAGTTGAACCAGTTGAATAGTGAATGCAAAACTTATGGAACATATTGAAACTTACTTGCAATAGCTGAACTCAGTATAGAAATGAATACAAATACAACTTAAAACAAACAGACATGTTCTTAGCTGAACTCAGTTGAACCAGTTGAATTGTTAATGCACATGCGAGAAATACAAGTAAAACACAGAAACTCAAGTTAACCATTCTCATCATTGGGAGGGGGCTGCAACCAACCCTCCAAGTTAATGCCAGGTTGAGCCTTGTTTTGGGTCCTCTTTCGTCGCTTTTCCCCTGTGAATGGAAACCGGGTTTCTTGATTTATACCTTTCTTTGGTTTGTATTCCGGCAGTTTTGCGATTTTCTCCTTGTAGTCAGCTGGAAAAGTCCATTGAGACTCATGCGGCACAACGTAAATCGTTTTATAATATGCTAATACCCACATCTCGATAAAGTAATATTTCGAACAAAGACCAGATATGCTTACTTCCGTTGTTCTCCATTCATTCCGACAATGCTTGATGGCTGCGGCTATATCATGGATGCAAGGGTACTTGTCTATATCAAAACACCTACAAGTACAAGATTTCATATCCAAGTCCACCAAATATGTTAAACCATCAACTCCAATTACGCTATATTCGCGTCGGTAGCTGTTAAGATCAGTGATCGTCAACTTCGCAGCTATAGGACATCGGATATGTAATATATTCTCCATAACAAGCACCACTTGCGTTGTGTTCGATGCATTGGCAAAATATTTTCGATGTTTGTTGAACCATTCAGAAAACTTCTCCAATATCGCATCAATCATCGGTAATAGATGGTACTTCCTTACTTCCCTTAATACAGCGTTCATTGACTCTGCGGAGTTGCTAGTATCTATGTTGTACTTGTCTTCCTCAGCATGACTCCTAGCCCATTTTTCAACCCCAATAGAATTATCCAGATATTCAGCAGCTCTGGGATACCTTCTCCTATAATCACCATACTGAATGTTGAACTCGGTCTTAGTATATACATGAGCGCATTCCTTGAATTTCTCAACACCTACGTCCTTGTCCCCAGTCAACTTTGGCCTAAGTTTTTGGGACAAATGCCATATATAATGACCATGTGATGCGTTTGGAAACACATCCATCACTCTCTTGATGATGCTTTGATGTCTGTCGCTTATGAAAACCAAACCATCTTCATCCGGTACTACCTTTCTCAACATTATAAAAAACCAATTCCAACTAGCATGATTCTCACTATCAATTACACCAAACGTAATTGGGTAATGGTGACGATTAGGATCCTGAGCTGTTGCAATAACTAACATCCCACCATATATAGTTTTCAGAAAAGTTGCATCAATCACTAACACTTTCCTCATTGCCTTAAACCCTTCAATGTTTGCGCCTAAAGCGATAAATAGGTACTTGAACCTCTCTTCTGCATCCAATTCCACTTCCGTTACTGTCCCAGGATTCACCTCTCTCAACATGTGGAGATAAGCATACAACATCGTATAGCAAGCTTCAGGGTTCCCACGCATATCACTAACATGTTGTTTTTTCCCTCTCAAGGCGGTGGAGTAGGAACAATCCAAACCAAGTCTTCCTTTAACAAGAGTCATGATGGTTTTAGGATCCAGTGTTTTCAAATGACCACGGAAGTCCTCGTGCAAAACACTTGCTACTAATCGTGGTGTGCCTTTTTGTTTAAAATATCTAGTACTCTCCTCACACCTAGAGCATGTATGCATGTTTTTGTGAACTCTTACACTCCAAAAATCAGATTTCTGTATTCTGGCAACTCTTAAATACCATTCACAACCCATGGAAGCTTGACAGCATTCAATCGTAAGTCGCACCGGATCCGACTTTACACATCTCACACCAAACAAGTTTGTCTTTGCAGCTCTATTAACCAAATCCCATACTGCCTCCTTAGAAGAAAATTCTTGATCTTTTTCCAGATCAATACCATCTTCCCATTCTTTAACTGTTTCCTCACTTAGTTGTACAGGCCGTGAAAGCTCAACATATTCATGCCTAACATCATTCTCACAATCTTCATTTACACCATCCTCTATCATTAGCTGTTCAATAATCGGTTCATGAACTATAGCAGGCTCTTTCTCTTGTTCTGATGTTTTCCCCCATCTAACGTACTCAAGATTGCTTGATTATTGACATCATCAGTCCTTACATCATCAGTCCTTACATCATTGGCAGCCACTTCCCCATAATTCAAACCGCATGAACTTCTTCTCTCTACTCTTGGTACTTGCTCCACCATCTGATTACTTTCAAGATTGCATAACTCCACATGCAAAACTGGTCTTAATCCCTCTTTATCCAATGATGTTAAGAATATACAAATATCCTCATCATCTAATATATAAGACTCTCTCCTTCCTTTACATATCATGTAACTCAATTTCAATTTCCTTTTCGCTGCATCTATAACAATCTTCTTACAGATTTTATCTACTAACACCGCATATGTTATTCTCTCCAAAGATATTGTCTTAAACATTATAGCATATAGTGAATTGTTGCAATTCCACTCATGCTCTGCTGAATAGTACCCTCCATAGTCAAAATATATGTTTGTGTGGATCTTCTTCTTCATCGCACTGCAGATAGAACAAAATAAATCACTAATTTCGACATAGCACTTGTAACAGTTATACCAGTTGTACCAGTCGAACTACACTAATATATATGTACCAGTTGTACTATTCAATTTCAGTTGTACAATGACCTTCTACAATTAACGATACAAAGGAGGAGCTGAGAGGAGCTACATTCTAATTTCCCTCAGATTCAACAAGATTCAACTCATAAATCCTACTATCTATAGATTTCTAAACCTACCATTGCCAAACTCTACCATTGCAAATACCTAAACAAACAAATTTCAAAGCACTTACTTGGTTCAATCAAGATCCAACAATGGAGGAGAAGAAAGAAGGTCATGTCCGTCGAAATGGATGAGTCGACGGCGAGGCTAAGAGGAGGAGCGGGAGTAGACGAAACAAATGGCGAGCTCTCAAACTAGATCCAACAATGGAGGAAATCAAAGAAGCTCCTGCGCCGGCGCCGGAGCTAATGACGGCCAAATAATCGAGCTCTCAGCACCTCCGGGGAATCTTCAGTGTGTCGGGGAGAGATGACAGAGAAGGAAAATGTCGAGATTGAGATTGGATCGAGATTGGAGAGATGATAGCTCCATTTGAATTTTTTTTTTTGGTTTAAAATTAAATCAATTAAATCAGATATATCATTAAGGGTATAAGAGTAATATTCACTATATGGATGGCATTGAGACTCTAAAATAGCAAGTCTGATTCAAATTTCCGGTTCAGTGACAAACTAGCTTTGGTCTCTACAAAAACTAGGTTTTGCTTGATTTGGGTAACGATTTAAGGAAATTTTGTTGTCTGGTCAGCCTAACTCATTTCAAAATGTTGCCGATCAATTCACTCCTTTTAACCGACCGGTTAACGGAACTCCCAAATCTCTGTTCGGAAAAACTAGTTCGGTTATATTTTGTGTCGTCGTCTTCTAACTTTTTTTTTTGTCATCCGAAATTAAATAGAGCTCAAAAGAGCCATTCCTGAGGAATGTTGTTTACATAGGTGATGTGTAGCGGTTCCGTACGAACTTTTCGTGCCAGATTGTCCGCTTTAGTATTAGCACATCGAGAAATTAGAGAAAGAGAGAAATTGGAGAACTCTTCCTTGTCGCTCTGAAATTCCTCCAAATACACTGAGAAGGCCGGCTATTCGGTTGGGGAAGACATCATCTTCACCAAGTCAGAACAGTCTGTAAAGAAAGCTAACTCTTGATTATCTGCACCAATCATACACTTCATCGCCCAGAGGGCCTCTTCTGTATGTAGCGGAGATAGTATTTGTTATCCAAACCGAAAAATGTCAAATTTCTTCTTAACGTAAAATTCACTGAAGCTTCTTCAATGGCGATTTCTCTCTCCACCTCATATACCTATCCACGTTTTTCGCCGGAATCGCCTAATTCCGTTTCCCCATCACTAACGCTATCTTCTCTTTCCTCCGTACGCTTGCCGGCTCAAATTCGCCGATTCGGAATCCGCCACGAGAGTGTTCAATCGCCGTCGTCGTCGACTAATCGCTTCGCTCCACTCACGGTGAGTTCTCTGTTTCGATTTGATGCTATAACATCTTGTGATTTTGAGACAAATTCAATTTTTGTTCATGTTTTAGTTTCTTAAGATTAATTTCATGGCCAGTAGCAAAAATTGTGTGATTATTCAGTGTTTATATCTAAAGATAGAATCAGTTATTTACATAATGTAACACTGAGATTGATTCTCACTGAAACAAGAATATACAACATTAGAGTGTGATTCTTGAAAATTAGTGTTAAGAAGAAGAGTGCTTGAAGAAGATTCAAACATATTCTATGTAAGCTACAGAAGAATCATTATTCGTAATTGCGAAACGAGCATTGAGAATTTGAGATTGATTTCCACTGGAACAAGGAGTAGATTGTTCTCTACTTCTCCCTGTAGACACATATCAGCTGATACTACTAACATAAAAATTTAACAGAGTTTAGGTTGTGAATGATAAACTCGGTCTTTTGATGAAAGTCTTGACATATCTGTTTAGTGGATTGTTCTGATGTTATGTTAGTTTACTTTTGGTACAAGTATAGAAAACTCGTTTATATGTTTGTCTGAAGCGTTTTCATATTGGCTCACTTAGTTTCAAACGTATTTAGAGCTCGAGACCAACTTTGTGATGTAATGATTTGATGCAGGTTAGAGCAAAGAAGCAAACTTTCAACTCTTTTGATGATCTATTGCAGAATTCTGATAAACCATTACTAGTAGACTTCTATGCCACTTGGTGAGTTTATGTTCAGTTGCACTTGTTAGCACCGATATGTCTGCCATCTTCCTGATTTTTTGGTTCTCATATGGTTACAGAGTTGTGTTTTTTGCAGGTGTGGTCCATGCCAGCTTATGGTACCTATACTCAATGAAGTGAGTGAAACTCTGAAAGATAAGATTGCAGTTGTGAAAATCGATACTGAGAAGTACCCAAGTCTTGCTAACAAATACCAGATTGAGGCTTTACCCACATTCATCTTATTCAAAGACGGCAAACTCTGGGATCGTTTCGTAAGTTTTCAATCACCCATATCTACTGGCTTCGATGGCTTGACCCACTTGTCCTGAAGCTAATTAGATAGAGCTGTTTTATTTATAGCACAAGTTCCTAACTTTCCTTGACAAGTTTTGCTTTTGGTTTCTTGCAGGAAGGTGCCTTACCAGCGAACCAACTCGTTGAACGTATTGAGAATTCTTTGCAAGTGAAACAATAGGTTTGAGAAACCAAGAAAACTTGTCATCTATGAACAATCTGTTGTAACAAAAGCCATTGTTGGTTGCTTGCTCAGTATATCATCTACCTATTCATATATGGCATATGTGATTTTTCTTATTTGAGTGATAAATTCCTCTTGAAATGTGGATAACTTTTCCGCCTCAACTCTGTTCAGTTTGTTAAAAGTTGTCCGTAGAGAGGATGCTCAATATATTCAGTGATAGTCTCCTTCGAACGCTGGTCCAAACTCCAAAGTATAACTCAGAATCCGTTTTCTGAGTGTATAAGATCTAGGCTTCTCGGCATACTATACCCACAATCGAGCTGGTTTTGGTGTGACCATGGTCACCATCTTGGTACGCCTTTTCTTATACCGACCAATAGCTCTGCCGAGTTTTCGCCAAAGCATCTACCAATCACCCACACCCTTCAGATTTGGATCCAGCCGCGTAACCGTCTTATTGACCTTTTATTTGAGTGACAAATTCATCATCAAATGTGGCTTAACTTTGTTCAGTTTTTTAAAAGTTGTTCCTAGGGATGCTGTATACATATTAACTGATCCAACCCAATCCAATGTGAAATAATTGATACAAATTCCGAACTATATCTTAATAGAGTTAATATAACGTTTGTTTGTGCTTTAGTGAGTTTTACCAAGCCTTTTAAAAGTCTTTTGTAGGCCTGGGAATTCGAACCGTTCGGTTTATTCGGGTTCGGTTTCTCGGTTTTTCGGTTATTTCGGAATTTGAAAGCTGTTCCGAAACTAACCGACTAAGATTTCGGTTTGGTTCGGTTCGGACACGGTTATTTCGGGTTTTGTAATTCGGTTATTCGGTTCAATCGTTTTGGGCCAAAACTGTTTTTAAAAGTGGGCTTTGTCTTTTCTTTTTTGAACTAATTGGGCTTATCTTAATTGGAAACAAAACAAAAAAAAAAAAGAGAAAGAGAAGCTTTTGTCTTCCACGAAGCAACCAACGGCCGACGAACCGACGAATGGAGACACCGGCGGCGAGTTCTGAAAGGCGGAGCGAGCGTATAGATCTAAAAGGCGAAGAAGATGTTGATGATAAGCTGTTGGTGATGAATCGAAGAAGAAGAGAAGCTGTTGTTGATTAATCGAAGAAGAAGAAGAAGATGTTGGTAATAGATCGAAGAAGAAGCATAAGAAGAAGGAGAAGTTGAAGAAGAAGAAGATTATGATGATGATGAATGATTGATGATTGATGAAACTATCTAAAAAGAGAAAGAAGAAGAAGAATAGAAAGCTCTAAACGAAGAAGAAGAGCGGCTAGGGTTAATATTAGGTTAGGGTTTTTGTTTTTCGGTTAACCGTTCGGTTCGCTCGAACCGAACCGAAATTCTCGGTTAACCGAACCTAAATTAATATCTTTCCGATCGGTTTAACTCAATTAAGTTGAACCGAACCGATTTGCCCAAACCTCGGTTCGGTTCGGTTCGGACAAATCGGTTCGGTTCAAATTCCCAGGCCTAGTCTTTTGTATCACGAGTTATCAATAAAAAAAGAAAAGTCTTTTGTATTAGTTTTAGATATCGTTCTAGCGCCAGATCAGATTTAACTCCTTTTTATGTTGACGGAGGCTACATCACAACATGCCACAATCAAGATCAATGTGTGTCAAAGACACTTCCGCGAATACTTCGAGGAAATTAACAATAGTCACTATCAGCAGAATTCGTGACGTTTGAAAAGAGTCTTTAGCGATATTAGTTGCCGGCGCGAACCAATTTGAGATAGCTAAGAGACATAGACAATTTGAGATAGCTAAGAGACAAAGACAATGAATTTATCACTTTCAATTGCAGGTGAGCTCCCAACAAAACATACTTTGAGATCTTTACAAGGTGTTAGTTAAGAAGGCAGAACTACTACCGAGTCATAACTTAAGGGGGTGTTATTGGTTTATGATTTCAAAAGAGTTTTAGTGACTTAAAGAGTCACGTAGAATATGTTGTTATTCAATCAAGATTTTTTAAAAGTATGTTAAAGTTTTGTGTTATTCATTTAAGATTTGTAAAAAGTAATGTAAAATCATCGTAAGTTTGAGGTTATTAGATTCATACTCTTATAAAGTCAGTAAAAATTTTGTGTTATTCAATTAAAACAAGAATCTCTGACTGTTAATGAATTAAATTATTATGTTATTGGTTCATGACTTTGTACACTTTTCTTCACAAAATAAAGTCATAGAAAGTCATGAAAAGTATTATCAAAATAGAGAGATTGTTTGAGAAACTTTACAAGATTATGAAAAACTAATCAACAAGATTATAAAAAAACTCTCTATCAATAGTTTAGAATCTTTTATTTATTGACTTTGAAGGATTTGATTGAAGTCATCAAAATTCCTTGGAAATTAGGAACCAATAACACCCCCTAAGTTTGGGTGTATATAAATAAGTTTCCATTTCTTTCCTTTTAAGTATGCTAGAAATCTCGGCAACCTCAGAAGCAGCGGAATTCATGATTGATAAACCAAGGCATTGCACGGAGGCGGAGTACATGATTGATAAACCAAGGCATTGCTCCGTTGAGAATCCATAGACGGTTACATTCTAGCTTTGTGCCACCTGATGAAAACAATATGGCTCCGATTGGTGACAAAAAAAAAAGAACAATAGGAACATGAAAGAAAAGGAATAAAAAGGAATAAAAAAAAACGAAAATGACTAAAACCAGGAACCAAAAAGAACATAAGAATTGAACAAATGATTATGGTAAATGGTAACAAAAAAATTGAATAAATATTTAACATAATAATTATTAAAATATCATATAATTTATTTAGTTTATAAATTTTATTTAAAATTAATGATTTATATAAATTTAAAATAAAATATAGAATAAATTCAAATATTTTATTTAAAAAATAATATAAATTTCACTTGAAAGCATTTATTTATTTATTTAAGTATAAATACTAATTTAAAACAAAGTCATAACATTCATTTAAATTAAAGTTTTAATAAAAGTTTTATTATACATAAATATAAAAAAATTAGAAAATATTTAGAGAAATTGTTAAAAATGCCCCTTTTTCAATACCTTTTTCAAAAATGCCCCCTTTGAGAGTCCATTTTTAAGTTTGCCCTCTTTTAATTTTTAATGACCATTTTACCCTTATTTGAAACAAAATTAGGTCCACAAAATACAAAATATTTTTTGGCGGGAAAAATGATCCCGCAATTTTCCCGCCAAAACACTTGTAAAAACCTTTAAAATACCTTGTAAAATTTTCCCGTAAAAATTTTTCCCGCCAAAAAATTTTTTTTGCGGGAAAAGTGATTTCTCAATTTTTTTGGCGAAATTTTTTTGGCGGGAAATTTTTTGGCGGGAAAAATTTACATGGTATTTTAAAGGTTTTACAGAGTATTTACAAGTGTTATGTTAGATTTTACAATGTATTTTAAAAAGTTTTACAAGGTACTTATAAGGTTTTATAAGGTATTTATAACTTGTAAAACCTTATAAAAAACTTGTAAAACCTTATAACTTGTAAAACCTTATAAAATAGCTTGTAAAATCTTATAATATCTTATAAATACCTTATAAATACGTTGTAAAACCTTTTAAAATACATTGTAAAACCTTATAAATATCCTGTAAAAAAACCCTTAAAATACCTTGTAAATTTTTCCCGCCAAAAATTTAACGCCAAAAAAATTGCGGAATCACTTTTCCCGCAAAAAAAAATTTTTGGCGGGAAAAAATTTTACGAGAAAATTTTACAAGGTATTTTAAAGGTTTTACAAGTTTTTACAAGGGTTTTGGCAGGAAAAATTCCGGGATCACTTTTCCCGCCAAAAAATATTTTGTATTTTGTGGACCTAATTTTGTTATATTTCCTTATATATTTGTGATATCTTTTATTAAAAGAAGGGTAATTTAGTCATTTTGTACATAAAAAGGAGTATTTTTAAAAATAGACAGCCAAAGGGGGTATTTTTAAAAAGGGGTATTGAAAAAGGGGCATTTTTGTGAGTCTCCCAAATATTTATGTATACAAATGTAAATATTATCATAAAAACTATTTTAAAATTATTTAAAAATTGAAAACGAATTTTTAATTGTTGTAAAATTTTTTTTTTTTATCTGAAGTAAAATTGTTATTCACGCGGTACGAGACTAGTAATTTTGAGAGTTGTGTTCTGAGAATTATATAACGGATGCATCTTTTTTATTTGTTGTTTAAATGGCCATGTAAAAGCAGACACTGATATAAGAATGAGTGAGACTTCGTAGACATGAATAAAGAAAAGAGCCATAATCTATTAATCTTGATCTATAGCTGTCAAAATCTCAGCTTAGTAGTGAAAGTTTCAAAAAATCGTTAGAGCATGGTTATAAGTGATACTCATATAGTATTATTAGGAAATTTTTAGTATTATTTATAATGTTTGTTTATTGTTTGAGATTTTTTATGATACTCCTACTAAATATGTTTGCATTGGTGAGATCGGTTTAAATATCATAAATAAAAAATTTACAAAATCAAAAATAAATATATAAAAACATAGGATTACAAATGCATTGGTGAATTTTTTTTTTCCGCTTTTACAAAAAAATGCGTTTCAGAGACGAATCAGGAGCCGCCACGTCACCCGATATTGGGTATCAAAAATATCACTGCAGTGATACTGATCAGGCCCAAATTCATTATTTGATCCATTAAAATATTATATCTAGGCTCTTAATAGTCTAATTGTATCACCTATGGACATGGTCTTAGGTGGCAGATAGGCGTTCGATAGGGCCTATATCGATTAATCCGAGACTAGGCGGGGCCTAGGTGTTAGCATATTATTTACTTATTTTTATAATATTTTTTTAAGTCTTATAACAAAACATTGGTTATAAAATATGAACTAAACCGGCCGAGTTGACCATTTTGACCGATTAATACCGATTTTGAACGTTTAAACCGATTTGATTCACCGATTTTACAAAAATCGGGGCGTCCGCCTAGGCCAATTTTTAAAACATTAATTAAATGAAACTGTATAATATGTCACCAGCCATTTTTTTTTCTTTCGCTGTGAACATTTCCTTTTCTTTTGGGGTCAACTCATTTCAGTTTGTTAAAATTTGTAATTAGAAAATTAACATATTCGATCGAAAATTAAGTGAAATAAGCAAATACAAATACTTAACTATATTTCATATAGTTGTAGTAGTTTCATTTTTTCTATATCCAAAAAATAAGCCGAATAAATCCAAATCCAGTAAAAAGAAAAATTAAACTTGATCTAAAAATCTCTAATATATTTTTAAGTCAACTAAGTATTGATTTTTTTAACGGCAAATCAATTATATTATGCGATAAGAGTTTACATGATACCTAAAATCATTCAAATACAATCACTGGAACAAATAAAGGAAATTGAATACAATTTCGATGAAGAAGTGGAAGTGATCATGCTTTCCAGACGGAAAGTCTTACAAGCAACATAATAAAGAGTAAATCTGTTAAGTCCCCTCTTCATACACTTGTAAAAGGCTAACATCTTATAGATGAAACTCTTAAATGCTTTCTGCATCATTCTAATTAAACAAAAAAAAATCTGATATGTTGTTTGATATGGTTTTGAAACATAACTGTTAAAATGTCGTACGCATCTTTGCCGTTTTGCGACCATGGTTTCTCTTCTCATAGAAACTGGATTTTCCGACTGAGAGAAAGAGAGAACATCATCATCATTGGATCGTGTCATCCAAAAGGGGAAGCTTTCGCCTTCAAGATAAAAATAGGCTGTTCCAACCCTAAACAGATTGAGACTGAAGCTAAGTAAAAATCTAATCTTAGGTCGAAATCCATACCAAATTTGAAACATGTGAATGCTTTTTCAAGCGACAAGGTTACTTCATTGATTTCAGGATCGAAAACCCAAATGATAACTCCACACCAAAGAAGAAATTCATCGATGAGAGAAACCACCGGAAACGAACCTTATACAAGGACAATCACGATTCAAAAGAATTGATATAAGACACGACCAGAAACATCGACGAAGGTATGAATATGTCAGATCTATCAATGAAATCAAGTTGAATTGATAGGCTTCCCAGATTGAAATTAAAATCTATACACAAAACAAAAATTAAATTATATTCTTTTTTTTAATTCAATAATTCATTAACGTTACCATCACAATCTGCAACGACGTCATTTGCAATATAAACTACAAATAGGCATGGACACGAAACAGATATCCTGAAAATTTGGGATATTCGTTATTCGATTCGTCTCAACCGAATACTTGATTTTGTGATTTGCTTTGATCCGAAAATTTCCGGATATTCGGAGAATCGAATATCCAGATTTTCTTTGTGATATTTACGGATATCCGCTTTAATATTTCTGCACCCATTAAAATTCTAAAAATCTAAGCGCTCGCATGTAAAACTAAGAAAAAAGAATATAAAATTTGGGAAAAGGAATCGTCGCAGGATTCCAACTTCTTATTTTTAAGGGATATTGATTTTTTTTTATAATAAATTTCATTTCACTAATAAAAACTATTAAATTGTATCACAAACACATGTCCAAAGGAAAAAAAAAACACTGAGTTTACAAATACAAGCCAAAAATATATTATGATATATATATATATATATATATATATATATATATATTCTAACATATATCGAACAATTTGAATCAAAGTGGATATCCGACTTTAAAAAAACAATATTTGTTATTTGTTCCGGTTTTTACGAATACTACATTTCCTATGTGCTTTGCTCGAAAATTTTACGGATATTCGAATTTTTCGAATCGAATCAAAACGAATACTGAATCAAAACGGACCTAACGAATATTTTGTCCAGGCCTAACTAGGAACTACAAAGCCTGATTTGCTCTCTCCACTTGAAACGACGTCATAGTAAATAGAGTAACGCTGGCAAAATATTAAACCGGTGACATACGGCGGAGATGGAGATACTCGCGGCGGAGGATATCGAAATTGGCACAGATTTATTCCCACCGCTTTCTCCACTCGCTTCCTCTCTCCACGACTCCTTTCTCTCCTCTCACTGCTCCTCCTGCTTCTCCCTTCTCCCTCCATCTCCGCCGCAGCCTCTCTACTGCTCCGCCGCATGCTCCCTCACCGATTCATTCACCAATTTCCCTCAATTCCCACCGGAGATAACCCCAATTCTCCCCTCCGACATCCGTACAGCTCTCCGTCTCCTCAATTCCACAGTCGTCGACACTTCCTTATCCCCGCACCGTCTTAATGGCCTTCTCACTAATCACCACCTCCTCATGGCTGATTCTTCCTTCTCACTCGCTATCCACCACGCCGCCAGTTTCATAGCCACCGTACTTAGATCAAACCGGAAAAACACAGAGTTGGAAGAAGCAGCTATATGCTCTGTGCTAACAAACGCCGTTGAGGTGCAAGATAGCAACGGACTTGTTCTTGGAATCGCTCTTTATGATTCAAGATTCTCTTGGATTAACCATAGCTGCTCTCCAAACTCTTGTTACCGTTTCGTCAACAACACGACGTCGTATCATGATGATCTTGCCTATCCAATAACCATTCCTCATGTCAACAACACAGAAACATTATCCAACTTAGAATTGCAGGAACAAGTTGGTACTAGTTTCATATTAAAACGTGATTTGATATGTTTTTCGATTTTTCTCGATTTGTGAAGTTTAGTTTTTGCAGGTAAGAACAATGGGATATGGACCAAAGGTGATTGCTAGAAATATTAAGAGGATTAAGAGTGGTGAAGAGATCACTGTATCGTATATCGACTTACTTCAACCGACGGTTTGTTTTGTGTCCAAAGTCTTCTGTTTTAGAGAAATCATCACTCTCTAGATTGTTGATCTGCCTAAAAGTGTATTCCTTTTTAATCATTAGGGATTGAGGCAGTCAGATTTGTGGTCGAAATATCGATTTATGTGTAACTGTGGACGATGTGCAGCATCGCCTCCGGCTTATGTGGACTCGGTTTTAGAGGTATCAGTTTTGACTGTTGTTTGGTGTAGTTGCTTATTATTAGTCTCAGTTCAAAAGCTATTGAAGTTTCAGTTTATTAATCTGTTTGCATCAATTGCCAACAATATGAGTTTCTGTCTCGACGAGTGTGTTTGAGTTAGTTGTGTTCTTAAAATAGCTAACGTATATGATGCACCCATTCAGGGAGTTCTTGTGTTGAAGCCTGAAGAAACAACCGTTGATTACCATCATGGAACCACCAACAAAGATGAAGCAGTGGGAAAGATGACTGATTATATCCAAGAAGCCATAGATGAATTTTTATCGGACAATATTGATCCCAAAACATGTTGTGAGAAGATCGAGAGTGTGCTGCATCACGGCATCCAGTTCAAAGCAGACTCACAGCCTCATTGTCTGCGGTTACATGCGTGTCACTACGTTGCTCTGAATGCTTACATTACTCTGGCTACTGCTTACAGAATCCGTTCGATTGATTCTGAAACTGGCATTGGTTTTGACATGAGCAGGATAAGTGCAGCCTACTCTTTATTCCTTGCAGGTGTTTCTCACCATCTCTTTTCTGCAGATCCTTGTCTTGCTATTTCTGCCGCAAATTTCTGGAAAAATGCCGGAGAATCATTGTTAGATCTGGCCCGGAAGTTTTCGATGGAATCATTTGGAGAATCTGATGTCAAATGCACCAAATGTCTTATTCTTGAAACCCCCAATTCACACAAAGATATCAAAGAAAAGTCTAGGCAGATTCTGAGTTGTGTCACAGACATCTCACAAGTCACATGGAGTTTCCTCACACGCAGTTGCCCTTACCTGCAAAAGTTTAGGAGTCCAGTTGATTTCAGCTTGACGAGGACCATTGGCAAGAGAGAAGAATCGATTGAGGATCAAACAGTAAATGTTCTTTTACTCTCTTTTCACTGCTTACTCTATGCAGACCTTCTGGCTGATTTATGTTACAGTGAGAAGTCACATTTGGTGTCTTTTTTTTTTGGTAGAAAGTCACATTTGGTGTCTTAATTCCTATGGTTTTTTTTTTTTTTCTGATTTGAGTTTTTTTTTTTTCCTTCTCTTACATTTTAGAAGGAAATAAATATTTTGATTCAATTGCAAATAAATATTTTGCTTAATTTAAATTTTGGATGAGATAATATTGATCTATCATTTTAAATAATATAATTTTTTTTATTCATAGATAATTAGTTGAGGATACATATCAAATGAGACATTAATTCTTAATCTGAAGGACTAGATAATGGAGGATAATTGTCTTTGCAGCAACAAAGAGTGTTTTGTTTCAGGCAAACCCCTTCATACCATCCTAAGGATTTGCAAAATCTGTCACATTCTCTTGCATCTGGACATCCTTCCTTACATAATCTGATTAATTGTGATCCTGTTTGGATCATTAGTAAACACATTATCAAATATAAAAATGAGCAAATAATATTTTAGTACATGTATGCAAATACTAAACATTTTTTTGCATCTATAACTTTGACTCGGTCAATAAGGACATCATGAAATGTTCGAAAAGATTTCAGATATACATATAAAAATTTGGTGTTTAATATATACCAATTACCAATAATTAGATGATTATGTTACCTGAAATTATGGGCAGAAGGATAAGAGCAAACACCATCAATGAAAGTAATATAAAAGATGGAGATTTTTTGGTCGCCATTAGTGAAGTTTTGAGAGGATGCAACAACACTTTGAATCTCACGAGAAAACAATACCTATCAAGGAATATTCAAAATCGATATTAGAAGAAGTTGATATATAATAGAAATATATGTAGTAAGAACAAATTTAATAACAAAATCTAGTTTGTAATATAGAAAGCAATATCTGAGTCATTGGTGGATTTGCTTTTTTCATCTTTTTCCATGAACAAATTGTTGTGTGCTTCGTATAAATTACCAATATTTTCTGTAAAATCTAACATCTTTTTAACTGATTTACCTTTTGATTTTCTAATATACTTGTACTTATCGAGATGTGAGTTTAATGATCTTGACTATGTGTTTATATACACATAAATGTATATTGTACATGTATATATTTTTAATACATTTCCCAAATTACGTAATTAATAGTATGTAATGAGCTTTCCATAAAAGAAAAGATACACCTATAACTTTTATTTATTAATTTGGATATAAATTTGGTCAAAAGGTTCCATTCTTTTTTTTTTTTTCTGATTTAGATAGGGTTTTTTTTTTTTTTGGTCAACCACACATTAATTAAAAAGTAACTCCATGAATGGTTGCCCAATCAGGAGGAGAATATTTAGATAGGTTTTACAATTTAATTCATTAAAAAAAGGGAAAATTGGAAATAAAGGACAAATAATTAAACTATTGTCCATCTATGCATTCTATATTTATGATTGGTCATATATACTTTAATATTGGTCATATATGATTTCATATAATTAAAATCCCAATATGCCCCCAGTCTTTTAAAATTTTACTAAACTATTAAAAAAATTCAAAATTAAATTGATTTCTTTCTAAAAACAATTTGGAAAAAATATAGGACAAAATCAACATTTAATTACATTCCATTATTTATTTTGCCGTAGATAATTTCATATCTTCTTCTTCTTTGATTCTCTTGCTCATCAAAGTTAAGATTTCGTAATTGTTCTCTCCTCTCTAATAACGCCATACTAAATAATTTTTTTTTTCTTCTTCTTCAATCTCTCTCTCTATCTCACTCCCTTGATTTCAATTTCTTTATGGAGCGCAATTATAAATTTCCGAGTTTTGAAACAAAAAATTAAGCGTAATCTATAGGAAAAAGTGTTAAGTATAAAGAAAAATTCTAATTTGTGTTATAATTTATTCACTTAGGTATAAAGAATTTTAAAGTGTTCAAAATTCAACTAATTTTCCGGGTTTTGAGACAAAAAAAATTAAGCGTAATCTATAGGAAAAAGTGTGAAGTATAAAGAAAAATTCTAATTTGTGTTATAATTTATTCACTTAGGTATAAAGAATTTTAAAGTATTCAGAATTCAACTTTTGTAATTTACAGATGTAATCAAATTCACTATATTCAATTTCCATATTTTAAGATTTTTTTTTTAAAAAATCTAAATTAGATAGAATGTACTTTCTAATTTTTATAGAATAAAAAAAAATCTTAAGAATATGTTTTCTAACATTCTTAGAACATGAGTAAATATTAGAAAACATATTCTAATTTTTGTAGAACAAAGAACAAAGTATGGAATATGTATTCTAAAAGTCGTAGAAACTAGTATTCTAAATACCGTAGAAAAGAAATGACTTCTAAATTTTGTAGAACATGTAGAGTGTGTAGAATACATAATCTAAATTTTGTAGAACATGTAGAGTGTATAGAATATACATTCTAATTTCAGAAGACATATTCTAAACTTTATAGATCAAATTTTATCTATCTAAAACGAAAACAAAACAATATATTTTTGACATTTTATATATCTTCATGTCTTCTTTATCATTTTAATACATATTTTTCTTAATTATTTTTGAAATAATTGGTTCAATCTTATGCAAAGGGTAGTTTAGGAATAGTTGATATTTGTTCATAGAATTCATATATGGACAAATACTTAAATATTTATCCTTTATTTCCAATTTTCCCTTAAAAAATATACAAAATATCATTTTACTTTTATCAAACAAATTATATTTGTAGATCATAAATACACATAGATGAGTAAAAAACGCTACAAGCATTTGTTAATTCTTTGTTTTACCATTATTTTCAAATGCCCATATGGCATTACCTATATAAAAAAAAAAAATTAGTTATAAAAGTTTAATAAAAAAAAGTTTACCAACAAAGATGAAGCAGTGGGAAAGATGACTGATTATATCCAAGAAGCGATAAGTAATTTTCTATCGTACAACATCGATCCCAAAACATGTTGTGAGAGGATTGAGAGTGTTCTCTGTTGGGTACAAACCAATGTCCCACTTCGAAAATTTAAAAAAAGAAGTTTCTAATAGATAAGCCAAATCCAACTCCAACTAGTATGAGACCTTTTGGGAAAGAACCCAATAACAAATCCGTGCAGGCTTGAGCATGTATGCCCAAAATGGACAATATCATACTAAGGAGAAGTTAGAGTGGGCTTGGAAAGCCCAATATTCTGCATCATGGCATCCAGTTCAAAGCAGATTCACAGTTTCATTGTCTGTGGTTATATGCATGTAACTACGTTGCTCTGAATGCCTACATTACTCTAGCTATTGCTGGCAGAATCCGATCTTTTGATTCTGAAACTGACATGGGGAAGGCTTTTGAAATGAGCATGATAAGTGCAACCTATTCTTTCTTCCTTGCTTATGTTTCTCACCATCTGTTTTCTGCGGAACCTTGTCTTGCTATTTATGCCGCAATTTGTTTTTAAAAAAAGGCTGGAGAATCCTTGTTAAATCTAGCCTTGAAGTTTTTGATGGAATCATCTGTACAATGATGTCAAATGCACCAAATGTCTTATTCTTAGAACCCCCAATTTACACAGAAATCTCAAAGAAAAGTCTAGGCAGATTCTGAGTTGTGTCACAAACATCTCACAAGTCACATGGAGTTTGCTCACTTGCGGTTGCCCTTACCTGGAAAAGTTTAGGAGTCCAGTTGATTTTAGCTTGACAAGGACCAATGGTGAGAGAAAATAATCGATTGAGGATCAAACGATAAACGTTCTCTTACTCTCTTTTCACTGCTTACTATACGCAGACCTTCTGACTGATTTATGTTACGGTCATAAGTCACATTTGGTGTCTCGATTTCGAGTGTAATATGTCGTTTGTTTGAGTTGAGGAATTGGTGGTATATGATTTGTGTTATATGTTATTTTGATTCAAGGAAATATGTACTCGCAGCAAAATTGGCCATAGATGAATTATATTAATAGTTAAATTGGTTAAATATTGATGAAGAGAATGTAGTTCAAGAGATAACTGATAATGCCACAAACAATATGGCCGCCACAAAGATGATAAAAGAGATCAAGCCAAGTATCTTTTGAACATAATGGGCTACTGACTCCATCAATTTGATGCTTGAAAGAATTTCAAGACTGTCAAGGCTCAAGGTTCAAAAGTACAATTCATATGGCGAAAAACCGAAAGGATTCACAATCTTCATATATGCTCATCATAGGACATTGGCGATGATTAGATCATACAAAAATAAGGGAGACATCGTCATGCCCGGGTCAAGACGCCCCTAAAAGTTTTTATTGGTTATTGGTTATATATAGATTTTTGGGTCATTGTTACTTTAGACCTATCTTGGATATCTTGCATTCTACTTTGTATTTTTGAGTTTGAACCTTTTGGGAGAAAATTGGAGAGAGCTTTTGATTCAGAATTCATACATGGGAGAGAAGATTTCTAAAACTCTTTATCCCTTTTATTGAATTGTTAGGATAAATCAATAGAGTTTTTCATCTAAGATTTTTCTTATTGTTTATTCTAGATTAGCTATCTAAAATCTAATCATAGGATGAATTGGCACAAGAGTGCAAGTTTTCCTGAACTATCTTAGATGAGCATAAAAATAACTATTCTGAAAGAGAGTTGATTGATTTATGTCCATGATTTGAGTTCTAGACTAGTTTTAATTAATTTCTAACAGTTTAATTGATATGCAACTCTGATTTTTTTCTGAAAAGTTCCATGTGAACAAAACCAATTTTGTTTTATCTACTATTTTAATTTGTAATATTTTTATTTAGCTTAATTTTGAAACATGCAATTAGGGGTGTCAAAATAGATAAAAGTTAATGGATCAATCCAAACCAATCCAATCCATGGATATAATGAATGAGAAATTTGGATACTAATGGATTAATGGATTTAATGGATTAGTGAGTTTAATGAATTGGATTGAAATGGTTTATGTTAGAATGGATTAGTGGATTACTCATAACCAAACCAATAAAAATTAAACATTCTAAATCAAATGTCTAAACCAAATATAATCAAATCAAACGTCAAAACTGATTTTAATAAACCAATGTAGACATGATTTAACTATTAAATCCATGAAATAAATTTTTCCGCCAAAACGTGATTCAACATTTTCCCGCCAAAAATGCAATTCCGTAAAATTTTCCGCTAGAAATGGAATTTCGCATTTCCCGCCAAAAATATGATTCTACATTTTTCCGCCAAAACCGTGATTCCGCATTTTCCCGCCAAAAATGTGATTCCGTGATTTTCCCGCCAAAAAGTGATTCCACATTTTCCCGCCAAAAATGCAATTCCGTAAATTTTCCCGCCAAAATGTGATTCCGTGATTTTCCCGCCAAAAAGTGATTTCACATTTTCCCGCCAAAAACATGATTTCGTATTTTTCCCGCCAAAAACGTGATTCCGTATTTTCCCGCCAAAATGTGATTCCACATTTTCCCGCCAAAAACATGATTCCGCATTTTTCCGCCAAAAACATGATTCCACATTTTCCCGCCAAAAACATGATTCCGCATTTTTCCGCCAAAAAGCGATCCACATTTTCCCGCCAAAAACATGATTCCATATTTTCCCCCGCCAAAAGCGTGATTCCGGATTTTCCCACGAAAACGTGATTCCGTGATTTTCCCGCCAAAAACGTGATATCATAACTCATTTATGTCATTAATTATTATTTGTAGCATTATATGATGATAATATTTATTAATTAATTAATTATTTTATTTTCATGGATTAACTCATTTAACCATTAAACCATCAAATAATTGGATTAATGGATTGACTCAATCCATTTAACAAATGAGTTGGATCAACTCATAAACCATTTAAGCCTAAACTCATTGGATTATGGATCGGTTTGAATCGGTTTATCCATTTTGACACCCCTACATGCAATCTATTGTGTGAACAAAAAAGCTTTGTAGAATTTGACCATTAAGTGCTACAGTGATCTCTTATTTGAGAGAGGAGTCCGCCATCTCCAACTTTATCGGAAGAGAAACAAGCCGCGGCCAAAGTCTCCGTAACCATGGCCTGCAGCCATTCAATTACGAAAAACCCATCGCGGTGTCGCGGCCAGAAGTCCCTAAGCTCCTTGGTCCAAAACAATGTGTTTTGACGATAAAAAGACCCAAACCTAAACCGACTCCCCAAAGTATATATATATACACTTGTTTTTTTTTTTTTTTTTGAAAAAGAATATATACACTTGTTTTTAACAAAGTTTTCGAAATAGCGAGATAAAGAGAAACATCAGCATCTACGGAGCTTTCACAGGACGACTCCATGTAAACGAAACCTATTTAAGACAATATTTTTATTTTCATCTAAATTTCCTATCTTGTGTGATCTTGTCTTTATCAGTTCTGATTCCCAAGGGACATGAACCTTAGTTTTGCAAGGAAGAAACATTTGTGTTCACTTCAAGGTTCGAAAAATTGAAAAGGAAGATAACAAAGCTAGAAGAGGAAGAAAAGTACAAGAGAATTCAATAAAATAATGGACGGGAGACGAGAACAACAAACCCTAGCCATACGTGGCTAAAAGTATTGGCATGAAGTGTGTGAACCAAGGTGAGTCCAAGTTTATGTTCAACTACAACAACCTCAAGTGATTGGCGCCTCCGTAGAAATGATCACACATGGCCAAGAAACCGGAATCCAACCACCTCCAATTCCGAACACAAATTTGAGATCAAGTTTAGTGATCAACATAGTGCAAAATAACAAATAATTTGGTATGTTCACGAAGATTTACGTTTATCATTTGAAATGCCTAGCATAATGGTAATGACGAATATAAATTTTCCTTAAAGGATTGAATTTGCAAACACACACATTATTTTTTCATGTGTTCCGACTTGACGCATCTTGGTGGCAATCATGGGTAAGAGACAAGGATTTATAAGGGTCGAGATGATCCATGACAGACTGGAATCCATCCAAATAAGAATAGACGTTAGATTCATCTCCATGGATGATGTACTAGGACACTCAATCTAGCAGCCTCACATTCAATAGGAAACAAATCGGTCGTTGAATTGAGGAGTTAAACATCCATCTTCGAAACCAACAATTGGTTAACAAGGGCATGAACTTTGCCTATATGAATTGCATCTGCGGTAAAATGTCTCATTTCATGTCCATAAAAGTTGAAAAGACGGATTGAAAATTTGCAAATGATGACGATGGACCCTTAAGGCCTTAACCATAGAACTCTAGAAGGATTTTAAATTAGAGGAATGATATGGGTTGGTGGAGGTCAATATTTCTTATGGGGTCCCAAAAAAACCATGTTTGCGAAGGATGCGAGCAACAAAAAGCCTATTGAACTCTTGGTGGAGGTTATGTTTTTTACATGCTTATGAGTTATAATATGGAAGTTCTGAGCCAAGGCTCATACATATTCCAGAGCTGGAATCAATCTTTTATAAATTATCCCTTCCAATGAGAATCGCACTCGTGTCCCTCCAAATTTCTACATTTCTACTAACCTAAATTCAACTACTACACAACCCCATGTTTTTTATTCGATTTGAGTTTTCTTTTGTTTGTTTCCTTCTCTTACATTTTAGAAGTATTTCTAACCGTATTCATTACTTTGGTTCAATTGCAAATAAATATTTTGCCTAGTTTAAGGTTTGCATGAGATAATATTGATCTGCCATTTTTAATATTAATATTTATATATATATATATATATATATCTATATATACATTTTTGAATGACTTTTAGCAAATAAATCCTGGAGTTGGACCTTATTTACGGATGAATGCCATTGACATTAATTATTTAAATTTGAAAAATATTACTTAAAGATATTACCAATACGATTTCGAGAATCATAAATTCATATCTTCCTTAATTTTCTGAGTCATTAATGTGATAATCTTTAGGAAATATTTCTCTGTAAAAAAAAAAAAATCCACATTAATGAAGGCATTAAAATCGACACTAACAATTAAATTATTTAGATGTTCAATTATTTTAAGATTCTTATATCTTATTTGATATTTTTTTTTTAATATCTCATTCTTTAATTACTGCGTTTAGAATTTATTGGTTGTTACCTATTTTTTGGTGAAATTTATTGGTTGTTACTTAATAAGTAATTATGGTGCGTTTATTTTAGTTAATATCTAATTTAAAGGATTTGTTTTCTTTTATTATTAATAAATGAATAACATGTATAGAAATAAAAGATTTTTTTTGCGACTCCATAATAAAAATATTAAACTCTTATTTTCTACATTTCTTACACATAATATCCTCTTATTCAATAACAAAAAATATATATTACATATTTTTAAAAATATTTATAATATTTAAATCATAGAAAAAATTTGTAATATTAATATTATTTCAACTCTATACAAATTTAATATTTATGTATATATATCTTATGGGAACCATTTAAAAGAAATTTTTAAATTGACTTGAATTATATAGCATTTAAATAAAAGTATTATTAAAAAGAAAAATAACTAAATAATGTTTAATTTCACGGGATGGGTAATATGATGGGACGGGTTTGGGTTGATATTTATAAAAGATCGTATACCACGGGTGAAATCCTAAAATTAACAATCAAAATAATCTATCAAACAAATTACATTTTGATTTTTTTAAGAAAATATAGCCCCGCGGTATACCGCGGGTTAAAATCTAGTGGTTTTTATTCATAGATAACTAGTTGAGGATACATATTAAATGAGACATTTATTCTTAATTTGGAGGACTAGGAGGATCGTCTTTGCAGCAACAAAGATCTTTTTCTTTCAGGCAAACCCCTTCGTACCAATCTCTAGTTTTGCAATATTTATCACAGTCTCTTTCATTTGGACATCCATCTTTACAAAATCTGATAAATTGTTTTCTTTTCATATGGAATTGTGTTCCTGTTTGGATCATTAGTAAACACATTACAATAATTTTAAATATAAAAAATGATCAAGTAATATTTTAGTACGTGTATGCAAATACAAAACATTTTTTTCTAGTAATTTTGACTCACTCAGTAAGGACATCATGAAAAGTTTGAAAAGATTTCAGTATAAAAAGTGTGTGTTTAATATATACGAATTAAAAATAATTAGATGATTATGTTACCTGAAATTATGGGTAGAAGGATCAAAGCAAACACCATCAATGAAAGTAATATAAAAGGTGAAGCGTTTTTGGTTGCCATTAGTTAAGTTTCTAGAGATAGCAACAACACTTTCAATCTCACGAGAAAACAATACCTATCAAAAAAAATATGTTCAAAATCGATATTAGAAGAAATCCGGATATAATAGAAATATAGGTAGTAAGAACAAATGTAATACCAAAAACTAGTATGTTTATTATAGAAAGCAATATTTTAGTCATTGGTGGAAACAAATTTTCAATTTTTTCATTAACAAATTGTTGTGTTCTTCGTATAAATTACCACTATTTATGTAAAATCTATAATCTTTTTAACTTATTTACCTTTTGATTTTCTAATATATACTTGTATTTGTTTAATGATCTTGTTGTATTTGTATTTATATACATATTAATGTATATATATATGTATTGTACATATATATTTTAATAACTTTATCCATATTATGTAATAAAGTATGTAATGAGTCTTCCATAAAAGAAAACATTCACTTAATAATTTTTTTTATTGATTGGGAATATAAATTTGGTCAAAGGGTTCCATTCTTTATTTATTTCCTGTTTTAGATTGGTTTTACATGTTAATTCATTAAAATTATACAAATTTTTATATCAATTTTATCAAAGAAATTATATTATGTAGATCTTAAATAAACATAAATGAGAAAAAAGAAGTTACAAGCATTTATTAATGCTTCATTTTAACCAATATTATTGAAATGTCCACATGGCATTACCTATAATTATAAAAGAACATAAATTAGTTATTAAAAAAAAAAATTTAAAACTGTTGGAGTTGGGCCTAACAATATTAAGCACATGAGTGGAAATGTTCAAAGGGCCTTTAAAAGTACCACTTTGACCCATTAGCCTAGCGCAACATCAGCTCTAGCGGAGATCATAGAAAAATGAGATAGGGATCGAGACCAATTCAAGGAGATTTCATAAAAGACCTAGGATCGAGGAGAGAGTTGAATCTTCGACGAAATTGAACTGACAAGGGCCTATATAAAGGAGGCAACTCCTAGAAGTGATAATTGCCTACTAGCTCTACATCAACACTTAAGCAAAATACTCTCTAAATACATTGCAAACATCAGTCTACTTCATACTAAGCACATTATCATCAGTAAAGTTCACTCGTTCTAACCAAACATATTTGTTTAGTTTTTAGTGAGAATCTAGCCTTTTTCCTCGTAAGTATCTTATTAAACTTGAGTGTGGGTTTTTAGCAACCATGGCGCCATTTGTGGGGAAAAACAATATTTCTTTTACGTTGAAACGAACCTTATCTTTGTGGGTAATGAAATGGATTCCCGACTATCCGAATACATGAGAACAAGTCCATCAGCCCAAATCTTACACATGATGGAACAAACCGACCATGAGCATTGTCGTCTGCTGAATCCCTCCAAAGATCAAACTGTGTTTCCTTGCATCACCAATGTTGATAACCTCCCGCAAACCACGACCTTGTTCACTTTGGAATGACCTACCAATCCTATCCGAACCAAAGGGGAAAATCACAGTACATCATGATTTCCCAACTGACCAGAACTTTTGTCGCCTAACCTGGCAAACATCTCGGACCACATGATCAGGATATCTGTGGAAGACATGGCGGCTTTCCGCTCAATGCTCATGGTATTGGTTGAATGAATCCAAACCCAAGAAATCGTGAGCCACAACCTCACAACTCGCCTAGAACAACAAGAACGCGAGCTCGCGGACAAATTTTCTGAGTCAAGGAGACTTCCACCTCATGCGACCCCAGCTTTTCCCTCCTACAAACCGAGGGTACAACACGACCATGGGATCAAACTCCAAGAATCCACCTAGACTTCTTAAGAGTTCAGGTGACTACTCGCCCAGAAAGGACGGTCACCTTCACGCAGACAAAAGTCCAACAAATCCCTATGTTCCCTGTTTTTGGGAGCCCTCCACAATAGGCGAACTACCCGACATGAACAAACAACCACACCGTACCATTCTTTCCCATGCTACTATCGTCGCTTCTCCTACCACGAGGCTGTTCACTACCAAGGTATAACTGGACAGGAAAAAAAATCACAGTCTCCAATTCTTAGGCACCTCAAGGTCAGACACAACCTCGGACCTCGTTAGAGGATTTTAACCTAGACCAGCAAACATCCATGCACCAATCGGTGCAAGAAACAACACCAGACCAACATACGCCTCAACTCAAACCAAATTGGTAGACCCACACAGTATAGTCGACCCATAGTCCACATGGCAGTGAGCTCGACACCTAACATAGATCTGGTAATAGAGAAAACAAGGCCAACCCCCTTCTTAAAGCCTTATATAAATTAGGTCGATTCACCTTTTTCCATGATCTAACTCATCTAGCCTAGCCACGGTGTTGAATAAATGGATCTACTAAAGGGAGGCAATCTTCTTAATTAGCTTCGCCATAAGTAGTTATTAGTTTTGTGAATTTATTGGATTCGGTTCTTAAATGAGAAATTAAGAACCCATACTTACTCTCTTTCTTCTTCTTTTTTGATTATTTTATATTATTTAAATGTTAAGAGATTCATTAAAAAAAAAAAACTCCATTGGAGATGTTCTAATAGTCTTAAAATCAAACTAAACAGAAAGATTGTAATTAAAATAAACCAAAACAAGTAAATTTGGTTGTAAATTCAGATAGGAAAAACGTCAAGCTCAGAGAATTTCTCATAAAATATCATAGTTGTAGATCGATCAATTATTGATATGATTTATTAAGGACCGTTCTAGAACTCAAATCACGAAATTAAATCAATTAACTCTCGTTTGTTTCGATTAAATATGTCTAATGTTGAGAATCCCAACTCTCGATGTAAATTCTTAAGAGTAAACAAGAATTAAGTTCATGTTCGATATATTCACAAAAATACAGTAAAACCTCTATAAATTAATATTGTTAGGACCATGATATTTTATTAATTTATAGTGCAAATTAATATTTATTAATTTATAAAGAGATTTATTTAATTCTTACAATTTTAGAAGTAAATGAATTGAGACCATCGAAATAAAATTAGTGTTTTTGGATGTTATAAATTTTGTAGTTTTAGATTTAAAATTTTAATAATTAGGAGAAAAAAAAGTTCAAAAATAATTTAGACAAAAAAATTACAAAGACTATATATAGGCAAATTCACTTATACAAACGATATATGTAAATTCAAATTTATGGTTAATGACCTTAATTATCATATTTTAACGGCTATAAGAATATCGAATGAAAATGATGCATATTCAAAAATTAAAAAATTTACAAAAAATCTTGACTATTTTATGACACAGTTATAGAGTATACTACAACATTATAATTTAAAAACACAATAGACCAATTATTTATTCAATAAAAGCTAAATATGGGTTCTGTCGAAAATTCAATTCAAAAAAAAAAACACTAAAAGGAGACCTTAGTATATCAACTTATATATATATATATAAATATTAAAAATAATAATCATATAAATTTACATATATATATATATATATATATATTAATGGGACCATATATTTACTTAGAGATTCTTAAAAATTATTATCTTATTATCTTATCGAATTTTGTCGAATTTTACATTGGTCCAACTTGTGACCGGACAATTTTAATATTTTATTGTGTTTATTAATTTATAGAGGTTCTACTGTATGTAAACCAAATCTCTTTGACAATAGAGAATTTTGTTCACTCAAGATAGTTCAAGGAAAATCACACTCTCTTGCTAATTAATCCTAAGATCAAATTCTTGTTAGCTACTCTATAATAGGCATTACCAACAATCATAAGTGAAGAACTCTAAAGATTTATTCTAACAGTTTATCAGACCTAACAATGCATCTAAATCCCTATTGAGAATCCCTAAACCTAACAAGCAGACTCCCCTCAGACATGATCTTAGAAACAGAAGGCATGTTTTGAATAGAAAGTATAAAAGAAATAAAGAAAATAATAGAGATTAGAAGGATCTTCTCTCTACAATGTTTTGAATTCTGAAACAAGCTCTCTCCAATTATTTCCAAAAGGTTCAAGCTCTCAAAAATTCAAGAAAATTGCAAAGTAAAAGATAGGTCTAAACAATGACCAAAAACTCTATTTATAAGCTTCTAAAATGTTCAAGGACTAAATTGCAAATTAAATAGGGAAGTTTTCCGATCTGTAATTCTATAAAACTTTTTAAGTTGTCGAAACTTCTCTGGGCCGACTAAGGTGTTGACCGACACTAAGTGGGTGTCGATCGACACTCACTCCTGGATCCGATTCCAGATTCGTTCCTTCAGCTTAATTTCTTCGGTTTCTCTCCAAAACGCTCTATTATCTCCAAATTCATCCCGATCGTATAAAGACCTGAAATGACTCAAAAAGGATTCTAGAAATAACATAAATACTGTAAATAACATACCTATATCATGGTTAATAACCGAACAGACCATGATATATCAACTCCAAAGCCTTAGATTTGGTTTGCCTTCAAGCAAAACACAAAAACCTAACCCGGGAAAGAAGTTTGAAAACACATAACTCTCAATTTCTCTAGCCTATTACATTGAACATTCAAATCAAATCCATATGCTTGGCAGATCACATCAAATCCTACCACCATGTAATTCTCTGCATGCATTCACAACATCCCAAATTCTAATCAAATTCCACAACTATATGTGGATGTCGGATTCACACACTCAAGTATTTTGTTAAGTGGGAAAGATAATTCTTGAGGGACAAAAATGAATACGTAAAAACTTGTAAATTGATACGAAAATTGCTATAGTATTTCTCTCTTGAGAGGAAGATCCCCTTTACATGGCCATTGGCCTCTATATTTATACATAGCTAAACGACATTTAAAATGAGTAATTAAGTACAATTATTTCTTCTTAAATGTGTCCGTTTTGATTCTTCGGCTTTAATGCTCAACATTTGAATTTGAGTTGACTCTGATCTTCATGGGCCTCGCCTCTTTTGGCCCAAGTGTCCTTGAACCGACTTACCCGTGTCTTCTACACCGAACTCGTGTCACAGTGCAGTCACTTCGGATTCTCGAAATGGTGACAACCACTTCGACCATCCCTTCGGCTCACGGGTCCAATGGGCTTCATCCTTTATGGGCCATTATCCTGATTACGTGGCAATCTTTGGTTGGTCTCGTACTTCTGGTGCGGGATCCGACACCAACAATTAGCCCCCCAAGTTCTTCGAAGTGCTATTCCAATTCGGAGGACTTTAAATGCTCAAGTGGCCAAAGATTGCGCTCGAGAATCTTTCTGATTTCCCGCCGAAAATCTCATCACTCCTTTAATTTCGGCACTAGCCATTTTTAACCGAGTGACATCTGTCA